GATATTTTGCCATACGTCATTAAGAAAAGTCACTCGTCCGCCAGTACTGTTTTGTTTTTCACGTACATTCTCGTCTTCCTCCTCGATGACTTCTCCGGCATACTTGGTTAACATTGGACCGCCCATTGTCTTTTTGACTGGAATGTGACTTACAGCATCAGCGTTCAAAGTCTCGATAAATCGTAGGGTAGACGGTCGCTCGATGAAAGTGTCCGGTAAGCAATTGCCAGTTTGAAATTCCAGAAATTGTCTCAGCATTGCGTCTACGTCGACTTTACAATGAACAGCAACGGAGCCCTCCAAAAGCTTCTGTATTTGCTGCTTGAGCTCGTAGTCGTAGTTCCAAAGCCATTTTAAAAGCGGCACGATCCATTCGAGCCACCGGTGTGTGTGGACAATCTTCAAGATGTCTGGAGAGAGCAATTTTACTTTCGTGAACTTTTTGGACGATAATCGAGACAGCATTATTGGCCTCTGCTTTATTTTGAGCTGTTAGGCAATGAAGACTATGATGGAAATGCTCCCCATGGGTGTTGATCGGTTGGTTCAGTTTCTGGAACTGCTTGCGCACCGGATCGGGGTACCTCCTCATTGCGATATCCTAGCTAGCTATTGAACTGGGGATCTTGAAACGACTGGGTCGACACTGACCGTCGCGCTGTGACTCGCAGGCTGTGCAAATAAGGCCTCTAATAGGCATCGCATAGTAAGTCGTGAATATCTCTTTTGGCGGGATATGGCATAAAATTATTTTTATGCACATATAAAAAAGAAAACAAAAATACGTAAATATTTTATTTTTATATCAGAAATAAGCGAAAAATATCGGGGTGCTTGCTAACATGTCGTAGTGCTGATATCGTAATATTCATGGCGCACCAGGTAGCTGGGGGTTAATACATGTACATGTAGGCTTTTGGTGGCCTCCTGTTACCTCGACATCGTACGCCAAGCAACATAATCTCTTGGATTTCCCACCAGAATTGCACGTCAACGCAGCCGAGCGCTGAAGACCTCAGGCCGTGTACGTACCTTTGCATTTGTCCACTACACATTGATGCTTCGCCTTTCGCATGCGATGTAAAAAGAAAGAGACAGATGCAGAGTGATGGTCATTTTTCTGCTTGGTCGTTTTAACAGCCAATCAGCGGCTATCAGTAGGCAGCACGTCATCAAATATGAGACAGGAACTTCAGTTTTTGATCCACCTGCACCTTTTACGCAATTTCTCCGTGTACATGTAATCCATTGGGACTATTCGCGATTGCGTAAATCCAAGCACCAAGTCATTTCTCAATTTCCTTTGAAGTAATAAAAACTTTAAGCAGAATGACCGCATCGACCACCGCAACGACGTGCGTGGCCGACCACGAGCGCCCCCACCAACTCCAGAAGCTTCAGAAGCTCATGCCACACGACTGCTCCATTGTGGTGGCGGCCAAGACTGGCGAAGACGTTGAGTTGCCGTCCGTGCCACGGCCGCACGGCCTCCAGAGTAGTCTTCGAATGGACCTGGAGGCGCACCGACGCTGGAATGCAAGCTTGTCCGTAGGCTTTCTCAACAGCGTGGACCGTATCGAGATCAACGAGACTCGTGTCGATGACGAGAACAAGACTGTGTACTACTCACTTGAGGTGTATCCGAGTCTACCAACGTCGCGCCTTCCCGCGAGCTCGACCAACGCGTCCTCTCCTCGTCACCATGCGGCGCACCCAACATTCAAGGTGGAGCGATGCTTCGCCGAGTTCGAGGAGTTGCGCGAGAACGTGCTGAGGTCTGTGAGCCACATGCCGCAGTGCACGTGCCAGTACTGTGTCGATTTCCTCATCTACATCCGCTACAAGTACAGCCAGCCTCGCGGCATCATCAAACTCACCTCTGGTACTGAAAAACGCAAGCAAATTCTCACAAAGTTTATCAACGACTTTGTGGCCATGGGGCAACGTCGAGCACCGAAGCTTGGCAAGCGCAAATGCGACGCGCAGAAGCTTGTACCAGCGATGCTGGAGTCGTTTTTGCTCAGCAACGCAAGGGGCTGCTAATTGCATGCAGCTATAAGCACGTTAGGAGCTGTATGTGTCCAAGTAGCCCGCACATTTTTTTCCAGTAAGAATTTGCAAGTATTATCAAAAACAAGTGGAAACGGGAATCCACTCGTCGTCGCTCTGGTTCGTACGAATGCTTCCATGGCGCCTATTGCTGCCTCAACATTGCAACGATACATCGCCCTCCTCTACGGATACGTGCGCGACGTCATCGCTGCCAAGCTTCCTGAGAAGTTTGGGCTGGTTCTCGATGGCTGGTCGAGTGGTGGTCGCCACTTCATTGCGATCATGGCTGTGTAATATGATGCCTCTGTGAATAACGTGGGGGGGGGTAGGAAGCCTGGCTATGATGAGAGCATTCCATGCGTGTCACGCCGCTTTGTCTTGCTCGCATTTTGCCCTCTGGGCGATGAAGAAGACCTCGGCGCTCAAAGCTTGTTTGACCTGATAGTGGACACGTTATCAACCTTCAAAAAGCCTTGGGAGTTCGTGCTCTTTATGATTGGTGATAATTGTTCCGTCAGTCAGGCTATTGGCCGAACGGTTGGAGCTTTGCCTTTCATTGGCTGTGCGAGGCACCGTTTTCAGCTGGCGGTGAACGCGTATCTGGCTGATCATAAACCCATGTTGGCCAGGATACACGCGCTCATGAAGCACCTGAGCACCATCAAGTGTCGTGCTGCCATTCGCAAGGTGACCTCTCTAGCGCTTGTCATGCGCAACGCGACTCGTTGGTTGAGTACCTTCAGCATGGTACAGCAGTACGACAAGATTTGTAGCGCTCTTCTCGCGCTGGACCACGCTACGGTGGCTAAGCATGACATCGCGCGCTTTCTACTGACGCCAGAGGAAACCGAAGCCGCTCGCTCTCTTCTCAAGTCGCTTCACGAGCTATATGAGGTGAGTAAGGCTGTACAAGACTCAACTCTAACACTGGTGGGTGCACGACGTGCCTCCGATGCAGTGTTGCGCAACAACCCCAGCATGAAGACCCGGCTTGCAAGTGACGCCTCCGTCGTCAACAATCCCGCACTGGAGAGCGGCATCGTGAAGATCATTGGCGGTGGTCGGCTGAAAGCACGCGAACAAGCGGCGTGTATTCATCTCAAGCGCAGCAGCGACGACACAGTGGTGAATCCAGCGGTTTCCAAGTCATTTCTCGTGTCGGCCTTCAAGAAGGCCCTTGTGACGCGCTCCACACCGCAATACTTTCCTCTCGAGTGGGTTCCACCCACGTCGAACGAGTGCGAGCGATTCTTCAGTCAAGCCAAGCTGGTTCTGACCGACCTGAGGAAAGCCATGGACCCTAACACTTTTGAAGTGCTTATGTTTCTATCGTACAACAAGGACTGGGACGCATTTAGTGTTAAAGCTATCAGGCAGAGTATGCGTAGTCAACTTAGGGGATAATGCCATTATTATTGTCTTGGCGTAATAGCAGCGGAATATATTGAGTATGGCATATTGGGGAGCTCTGTCTGTGATCACCGCACCGATCTTCCACTATTTGTCCTCCATCGGTCATTATCGTCTCCAACTAATTTGCCAGTGTAAATCCGTCGTGACTAGAGTCAGTCGGAAAGAGTCCAATGGTAGTGGCCGCTCCAAAAAGAGCAAGTTGGAACCTCAGAAAATGTTTGTTTGTGATATTTTGCCATACGTCATTAAGAAAAGTCACTCGTCCGCCAGTACTGTTTTGTTTTTCACGTACATTCTCGTCTTCCTCCTCGATGACTTCTCCGGCATACTTGGTTAACATTGGACCGCCCATTGTCTTTTTGACTGGAATGTGACTTACAGCATCAGCGTTCAAAGTCTCGATAAATCGTAGGGTAGACGGTCGCTCGATGAAAGTGTCCGGTAAGCAATTGCCAGTTTGAAATTCCAGAAATTGTCTCAGCATTGCGTCTACGTCGACTTTACAATGAACAGCAACGGAGCCCTCCAAAAGCTTCTGTATTTGCTGCTTGAGCTCGTAGTCGTAGTTCCAAAGCCATTTTAAAAGCGGCACGATCCATTCGAGCCACCGGTGTGTGTGGACAATCTTCAAGATGTCTGGAGAGAGCAATTTTACTTTCGTGAACTTTTTGGACGATAATCGAGACAGCATTATTGGCCTCTGCTTTATTTTGAGCTGTTAGGCAATGAAGACTATGATGGAAATGCTCCCCATGGGTGTTGATCGGTTGGTTCAGTTTCTGGAACTGCTTGCGCACCGGATCGGGGTACCTCCTCATTGCGATATCCTAGCTAGCTATTGAACTGGGGATCTTGAAACGACTGGGTCGACACTGACCGTCGCGCTGTGACTCGCAGGCTGTGCAAATAAGGCCTCTAATAGGCATCGCATAGTAAGTCGTGAATATCTCTTTTGGCGGGATATGGCATAAAATTATTTTTATGCACATATAAAAAAGAAAACAAAAATACGTAAATATTTTATTTTTATATCAGAAATAAGCGAAAAATATCGGGGTGCTTGCTAACATGTCGTAGTGCTGATATCGTAATATTCATGGCGCACCAGGTAGCTGGGGGTTAATACATGTACATGTAGGCTTTTGGTGGCCTCCTGTTACCTCGACATCGTACGCCAAGCAACATAATCTCTTGGATTTCCCACCAGAATTGCACGTCAACGCAGCCGAGCGCTGAAGACCTCAGGCCGTGTACGTACCTTTGCATTTGTCCACTACACATTGATGCTTCGCCTTTCGCATGCGATGTAAAAAGAAAGAGACAGATGCAGAGTGATGGTCATTTTTCTGCTTGGTCGTTTTAACAGCCAATCAGCGGCTATCAGTAGGCAGCACGTCATCAAATATGAGACAGGAACTTCAGTTTTTGATCCACCTGCACCTTTTACGCAATTTCTCCGTGTACATGTAATCCATTGGGACTATTCGCGATTGCGTAAATCCAAGCACCAAGTCATTTCTCAATTTCCTTTGAAGTAATAAAAACTTTAAGCAGAATGACCGCATCGACCACCGCAACGACGTGCGTGGCCGACCACGAGCGCCCCCACCAACTCCAGAAGCTTCAGAAGCTCATGCCACACGACTGCTCCATTGTGGTGGCGGCCAAGACTGGCGAAGACGTTGAGTTGCCGTCCGTGCCACGGCCGCACGGCCTCCAGAGTAGTCTTCGAATGGACCTGGAGGCGCACCGACGCTGGAATGCAAGCTTGTCCGTAGGCTTTCTCAACAGCGTGGACCGTATCGAGATCAACGAGACTCGTGTCGATGACGAGAACAAGACTGTGTACTACTCACTTGAGGTGTATCTGAGTCTACCAACGTCGCGCCTTCCCGCGAGCTCGACAGACGCGTCCTCTCCTCGTCACCATGCGGCGCACCCAACATTCAAGGTGGAGCGATGCTTCGCCGAGTTCGAGGAGTTGCGCGAGAACGTGCTGAGGTCTGTGAGCCACATGCCGCAGTGCACGTGCCAGTACTGTGTCGATTTCCTCATCTACATCCGCTACAAGTACAGCCAGCCTCGCGGCATCATCAAACTCACCTCTGGTACTGAAAAACGCAAGCAAATTCTCACAAAGTTTATCAACGACTTTGTGGCCATGGGGCAACGTCGAGCACCGAAGCTTGGCAAGCGCAAATGCGACGCGCAGAAGCTTGTACCAGCGATGCTGGAGTCGTTTTTGCTCAGCAACGCAAGGGGCTGCTAATTGCATGCAGCTATAAGCACGTTAGGAGCTGTATGTGTCCAAGTAGCCCGCACATTTTTTTCCAGTAAGAATTTGCAAGTATTATCAAAAACAAGTGGAAACGGGAATCCACTCGTCGTCGAAGTCGGTTTGTATCTTGGCGGGTTGCAACTTCACTTTTGTACCTTCTTCCAGCTTCGTAACGGATGCTAATGGGTTGAAAGCCCCAGGAAGCGAAATTTCAAGTGGAAATGCATCGGTGATGAGGATATCGTTGTCGGAGCTGAGCTGTGCGACGTAACCGAACCAATAAATCACCATTCCGGGTCCGTAGCGGTTCACATACCCTTGCAGCTGCACCGCAATCAGTAAGATAAATCAACGCAAAAGAACCCAAAGCTAGCACCTTCACTCACCTGACTTGCATTCTCCGTTTCGTGTGTGTGTCTGTCTCCAAACATGGCCTTACTGTCGATCCAATTGACTACATGCAGCTGTCCGGTCCTCGGGTCCTTGACTCCGATCGGCAACAACAACCTCACATCGGGTGTCTTGGATAATCCTTTTTCACGAAGCATATCTTCGCTTTCAAACACTAACTGTCGGTTACGTAGTGTCTCCAGCAACAAATATTCATGCTCGACGCCCATGTTGTGGCGGATACGGTCCGCTAGTGGCGAGCCGATCTCGTCCTGGTTAATGCATTCACGGATCTAACGATTCACCCGCTGTTAGTGCTTCTATCAACCGTCTACGAGTTTCTCCCACCTCTCGTATGACTCGGGCGTACTCTTCGTCCGAGAGACCACGACGATTGGGCGTATCCGTCTCCAGTTCGCTCTCCTCCTTCATGGCTTCTTTAAACAAATTGGAGATCGTGGTCTTACTCCATCCGTACTTGGCATCCAGCAGCAGGCGCGCCATCATACACAGGGAGAAGCCTACGGACTTGGCAATTTGATGCATGGACTCGCCATCGCTTTGACGTGCCACATACTTTTTCAACGTCTTTTCCTGCCGGTGCAGACGCAGCTCAGAGCGGAACTGGTGGTGCAGCACCTGGCGCTTGATGATCGAGAACGTTTCCTCGGACACGGAGAGCTGCGGCCCCGCGGCATCGGGGTACGCGTCCAGCGAGCAGATCAGCTCAAACTCGTCGTCGTCCATAATCATTCTGTACTTACTGTCGCCACAATCAAGGGTCTTGATTGCGAGCTTGAAAAGCTGCAAAATGATTGGATGAAACGTTCTGCTTGAGGATAAATTATAGGCTACGCTGACTAAACTATGAAGTGTCTCAATCTCGGAGGAAGCTCTCGAGCAGAGCGGGCACGTGCTGGTGCGCCTCGCAGCGGTGAATCGTGTTCTTCGACGGGTTCTGAGCGAGGTCGATGAAGTCGATCATGAACTCCTGCAACATTTCCTTGCGCTTCTCGACGTTGGTGTTGGTGAGCGACGTGAGAAGGCGTGGCTGACGCATTTTGAAGCGCATGAAGCGGCCGTATTCGTAGCAGTATTGGCACGTCCACTGCGCGTTGGGGCACGTCCAAAGCTTGATCTGGTGGCGCAACTTGGCGAAGTCCGAGTAGCGCCGCTCCACGCGGAAGTCGGGCTCGCGCGGCTCGCTGACGTCCGACTCGCGCGTGACGGCCATACGTGGGTTGTTGACGTTCGTGGGCAGACGCGAGTTGTAGTGGAACTGGTAAACCTCCACCACATAGTATGTCACGCCGTTGCGCTCCACAGCCTCATTGATTTCCAGGCGATCAATGTTGCTTAGGAAAGACAGCGAGAAAGACGCCGTAGACCAGCGAAGTGGCTCGACGAGCACAGGCGTGAGTGGAGGCGCCTTCATGTCCACAGGCATCTCGCGCTGCGACTCCTTGCGCGCCAAACGCGGGATTAGGTTCAGCTGCTGTGGTGCATGCTCCTCAGAGGCAATAGTGGCAGGCTGCGGCATTGCTTTGGATCGGAAAGTTTTGACAGTATTCAAGTGAAGGCAAATTCCAAAATGAGTGTGTGATTCATGCCCAAGACTGCGCGTAATACTGTCTCTGCCTCTGCAAGGTCCGACGCGGGTTTTCATCCAATGGATGCGTGATTTAAACACAACAGAGAATTTAATTGGCTGAAAATAAAATAATGGTTTGCAGAAGCATGTCATAATCCGCGGCTAGGGTAGCATTTTCTTTATGGTGAGCTCGTATGCTCCGTTGTCTCCTGCAGAGTCTGCGGCGCGAGCTCCACTACTGTCACACTATGCTGTCGGCCCCAGTGATCATCACTGTGATGCGCATCTTGTGCGCTTTGCTGCAGCGACCAGCTTACGGAATGGCGCGATCATCGCTGTGAATCACAGTGTGATCGAAGCTCTCTTTGCCGTTTCGGGTGCGGCTGTTTGCGGTCGTTTTTTGGGTCGGAAAGGCGGTCCGACCAACACTCCTGGGCTGCTGCTTAAGAGTGACACCAAAGGGCAATCACAAGTTGCTTTTTGCAAATTTGTGGTCGCAAGGAACACAGTACCCGTAATGAAAGATAACAAAAGATATCGCCGTGTGGCGCCAGATCTGGCGACTCGGCGATACAAGTGAAGCCATTTCCAATCGTGCTGGTCGAGGCGTTGTGATGGCCACACGAATTTGTCATCCAGTTAAAATACAGTACTTGAATCGGGTTTCGTCGTCGCTGCCAAACTATTTGGCGCAAACCGACTTGCCAACAACATGGCGGCAGACGATGTCACCGAGCGAAACACGGCAGCGGATTTTGCGGAGACGATTTGCATGCCCCAAGCATGTACGGTGAGGCATTTGTACCAAAAGAGAAGCGATGTGGAAGGTATTTATAAATTATAACAATTAACGTCCTGATTTCTTTGAAATTATGCGCAAAGACTAGTTTTGACAGGGTACTATGTTATAAGATAGCGACGAACAGGAAACGGCAAGTTGAAGGCTGGGCGTAAACTGAGGTTTGCATCGGAAAACTGATTGCTCCTCAATTTGGGCGCAATCTGTTTGTGAGGCCGTCATCGGCAAGGAGATCGATCGCCCAGATATGGCCATCCATTGGCTCTCCATCGCCGCTGTACTTGTATCGACATGCTAAGCCCCTTCGAATCAATCGAAGTTCGATCACCTACATGTAGGCCATGCATCTTGCGACTGAGCTGCCGTGCTGCATTGCCAACTTGGACGCAGCCACGTACGGCTCAGCAGTACTACCTGGGTTTGTAGCGCGCAAGAGAGAGCAGGGCATTCTCCGTTGTCGTGACATTTTTTCGGCTCCAATTCTCACGCTAGAGAGCATTCATTGCCTTGGTGATGGCTCCATACTTTCCCACATTTCTCAGTCTGAAGAAGTCCAGATCGAATATTGGTTCCCACATATTTAGCAACGCGAAACACGTCCATCGTTCTGTCGAGGACAGTATTGCCGATTTTTTACTCCAAATTTCACCCATTGTCTTCCGCATTGAGATTTATTAATGAGACGCGAAGAACAGCGGAGCACGACGAGAAAGTCACGGTATTTTAGCGATCAAATGCAAGTCGATGCATCCTCTTTCATCTCTTCTCCTATCACTTTAAAATTAAATAATACCGAGCGAGTCCTTGTACTCGCGCTTAAGAAAGTCCTGCAGCATCTCGGCCACTTGTTCCAGCATTTTGCAGTCCTTCGAATCCGTTTCTTGCGTACTACTGCCACTACTTGGGCGCCCACCAGCATCAGTCGTGAGAGTCAGTAGATCGTTCATGAACGTCGTGAGTAGCGCGAATCGCTGCTCTTTATTGCCAAACATCCGCCTCACTGTCCAATTCTGGTGCTCGGGACTGAGAGCAACACGCAACAAATCCTGGCAATCCACACACGTCTTCATATGCGCTGTGTCCGTTCTTACAAGTTCCGTAACGCTGTTCCGCAACCGGCGAAACTCGGAGAAACGACGCTCCACCAAAAAGTCCGGCTGACGCTCGGCCATCATTGCAGCATGCATGGCCTCTGCTGATAGGGTAGATGCCGGCGTGACCTTATACACACACTCAGATCGGCGTCGCTGTGCCTCGCTGCGGTGGAGGAAAACAGAGGCGACGTACAAGCGATGGCCATCACGGCGGAGCTTCTTGGCCACACGCACACATTCGAATCGCTGGAGCGGGACGACAGAGCTGCTGCGGCTGCGGGCGTTCACTGACGGTGTGGACGAAGAAGATCCGGCAGTGTGGAGTCTCGCGACGGCGGCATGGGTCGGCGTAAAGGCCCGTGGAGAGGTCGACGCAGACGCAGATGTCGGAGGCATTATACGTCAAAAGAAGAAAATGTAATGGATAATGGAAAACAGGCGTATGCGATGGTGCCGGCAAGCGTCCCATCAACAGAAATCTGGTGATGAAAAAACCATTGTGGGTGACCCTCAGTTTTCACGACGATGACACTGACAGTGTTTTTTTGCAATACTCATTTCACCCAATTAAAGTATCTTTTTCAGAGCCTTCTATTCAACCTAAGCAGGTGTAATGTCAAACAGAAAGCTGTACAGTGTCTGAGGAATGTGGGCTTGACCTGAGCACACACTGCGACCGTCGGTTGAAGAGTTACGGACAGTGAGAGTGAGAAGATCATTGAGCAGTTTGGTGAGCTTGCGGAGTGCCCGCTCCTCTCCCAGCAGCCGTAGCACCAGTGCTTCCGGGTCGGCGCTGCCCAGCACATAAAGTTCAACGAGCCCGGTGCAAAACTCGCAATGCACATGCTCATGAGCCGACCACGCAGTGTCGTAAATGTCGCGGCGAAGTTGCCCGAAGTCACTCAACGTTTTCTCCGTGCGCACTGCCGCCTTAAGCGGCCTGGTCGAGCTCTCGCTCAGACAGTTGCAGAAAACCTCGACAGTGTAAACAGCGTTGCGGCCCTTGCCTTTGCGACTCGAAACGCGGACACTCAGGATAGTTTTAAGGTCCAGTAACGCTTGTCGCCGTGATGACACCCACGCGGGCTCGATGGACACGGGGATCAGCAGTTGCAGCTGGCATGTGTTCGACAGGTTAGGCAGCATCGTCGAGGATATGTCACGTTACGCTTCACCGCTGGGAAGACGTTGCGAGTGCCTGGCACATTTAAGAATGGCGTGGCGGGCTCCCTTGGTGACCAAGTTGGTCGGCTGGCATCCAACCCTCAGACGCGCAGGCACGCGCAGCAACGTCTAAACATTGACCGAACGGATCCTGGTGAATCCTCAGCGTAATACTAGTACAGTAGTAGTAGTAGTACAGAACAAGTATACATGTACATTGTATACTGACGCTGATTGTTGACAAGTCTTGTTCAAGTACAGTACATGTGTACCGGAAGAGTGTACTGTATAAAAACGATTAGTTAAAGGTGTGAAGCCTCGCCGAGAACGCAATTGATCGATTTATTAAGCAATTCGCCTAGCGACATGGACAGAGATGTGTAGCTATTGTCGAGGTCTAGGCGGCTTCATTGGCTCCATTGAAAAGGAAGGTATGCACGATTTGGGGAGCAGAGGTCTGCCCGGAACAACAGCCTCGACTGTCAATTCGGACAATCAGCGAGAGTACTTCATCCAGGAATTTCTCCACTGTACGCGCTAGCCGCTTGCCACCGAGCAAACCAACAAGTAACCCGTCGGGATTCGCTCCGAACACGACCTGATCCATGAAACCAGCCTAAAACTCGCAAGGCTCGGAGTAATGCGCGTCGTGAACGATATTATACACTTTGTTGCGAAGAGCCACAAACTCTAACAACGTCCGTTCGATCCGGACGGTCGGTCTCCGTAGGCGCGCGTCGTCTTGCACCTCCTCGCAATCATCACTCGCAGGGTCCGAACTTGCTGAGTCGGCAAAAACCTCAACGACGAGCCAGTCCTTCTTGCCTTTACCTGCGCAACGCACTTGGATCGCGTCGACCTTTTTGAGCTCCAACAGCGCATTTCTTTGAGCCGACATGATCGTAGGAGTGATCGTGGTAGGTACCAGCAACTGAAGGTTCGAGCCCAGCTTGTTTGAAAGCGGTGGGAGCATGGTGGCAGAGTGATTAAATGGCTTCGTTATACGCTTGTTTCGCGTCGAAACAGGAAATGAAGTAAAGCGCCATCACCAGCGAGGCGAACAGCTTTAAGTCTGTGGTGCTGCGCTCGTCGCTCATCAAATAGAACGCCGGCTCGATTCATCTAATCTCGCAGATTAGACTCACGCCGGAAAAACCCGGATAAAGGCAACCAGTATACACATTTAAAACCCTACTACATGTACATGTATTCCGACTGGAGAAGAGGATGCGCTGGGCTTCGTCTACAGCCATTTCTGAAGTTCACAATGAAGACCAGCACACTTTCACCAACGCTTAGCTCACTCTGAAATATTGAAATAGATACTCGGGCCTGCTTCGCCACAGCACGCTGGCGTCGAAGTCCGAGCGCAAACCCTTTTGCTTGTTGTGTGCTTTTCAAAAGTTCAAGCGATGATGGTCCGCACTGAGACAGAGACGGGAAGGTTATCCTAGCCAAAGCCTTCCCGGCAATAACGACTCCGGACAGCTGCAAATCCTCTCGATTGAATATGTGACGGTCGAACTCCTACTCGAAGCGCTTCTGCGCAGGTACAGTACTGTACCGCTTCCAGAATTCGAGTGTGGGCCAGTCAATTGTGCTTGAAGCTGTCAGAGCTGGCGCGTCGCATGTCCACCTGCCACGCACGCGGTGCCGAATCTGTATATCGGTAGAGAAGAGCTCTCGAGGTTGTGACACAACTTGTGTTGCAACTTGCAATTGTCGTCGGCATTGGCACGCGCATCAAACTTTGATTCAAAGCTCCATTCTTTAATTACCTTACTTCCTCCATGTTGCAGTCACTCTCGATCCAGCCTCTGGTTCCCGTCAAGGGCGGCGATCCATGCAACCACTCGCGCCCCGAGCCCGCCGCCGACGTCCTCACCTCGCCGGATAGCCACAAAGGCATCAACGCTACCGTGCACGTGTACTTACGCTCGACCGCCGTTGACCAGTCTCAGCCTCCGCAGGAGCGCACCCCGGACTATTCATTCCGGTGCACGTTTGCGGAGTTGAAGAAGCTGCGCTCACAGATTCAGTCAACCGTGGACCGCGGCGGCCACTGCGCGCACTGTAAGCGCGTGGCAACGTACATGGCCTACTGTTGGGAACGGCCACGACTGCTTGCCCCGTCGTGGCAAGGCGGCATGACCCTGCAGATGGAGCCACTGAGCTCGTTCCTGAACCAGCTACTGTGCTTCGCCGCCCAACTCGGCTCTGAAGACCACCCGGAGTTCGCCGGTATAATGTCTCGCTTCATGCAGCCGCGCGGTGATGTATAAATCGATTCCGTCAGAATAGAAATGACCGATGCACGCCCGGACGCACCGCGTCCAGCCGGCTCAATTAGTCTACGAGTCAATGACCCAGGTAGAATCGCGCGTACCCGCCTGTCATCATGCTATTAGTTGATGGCAGATAATAGGGACGCTGAGCCGAAGTGCCCTGTTGCGAGCGTACCCGCCTAGCGCGCAAGGTATTCCTTTGCGGTTAAGGAGATAGGGACGCCACGCTGCTTCTCATGCAGCTCAATTAGGCACTCTTAATGGACGAAGAGCCCGCCCGCGCAAGCGCCGAGGCTTTTGTGCTCGTTGTTTGACTCATTCACTGATAACTACGTGTGCGCATCACGTAAGATGTACATGTGCTGCACCAAGTATCTAATGCAAAACAAATACAAGTCTGCAACAGAAAACACAACTTGCAGTAGTCGAGTGAGTGGGGGAAATAAATTGAGTTTGTCCAGGGCAATTCCCTGATGGTATGGATAGGCTTCGGTTGAGCTTAGCTGTCCAAAGCACGAGGCAGGAGAAATTGACGCATGACTTGATGACTTTGGACTTGGCCTGAGCACCACGGCGTTCCCTCAATGCAGGCAAAGTGGATGAGGATGTCAACAACACCGTCCACGAACTGCTGCAGCGACCGACTTATCTTTTCACGACCAACGAGTCGCCGTAGCACGCTGCTCCCGAACTTTGTGTCCCCGCTGTCAAGACCAGTGTACATCATCATCTCCTTGCAAAACTCACAGGAGACTGACGTGTGTGCCAAGTGGGACGCGCTGTAAAGCGCCTGACGGAAAGTAAGAAAGTCCACTTGCGTCTTGTCAACCTTGTAGGCTGGTTGCCGAGCCGCTTCACTACCGCTTAGCTTTGAATGTACATCGATGGGGGTCGACGTGCCGGTATACACTTCCAGTGTGTAGTACGTAGTGCCTTGACGGCGCGATGCGGCAGTGGAAACAATCAAACTTTCGACCTCGTGAAGTGTCAGCTGACGACGCTGGGAGGCGGAGGCACTTGACGCCGGTTTTGCTGCTGAGATACTCGACACAGCGCTGAGGCTGCTGCCTCGTGAAGGTGAACGAGTCTTTTCTTGCTTTTGCGTCTGCATGGCTGGAAAATATGAGCCGGACGAAGCCAATTCTGAAGTGGACGAAAAATGCGAGTCATTATCAATCATGAACCTGACCTGATCGTCAGATGACACGACCGACATCTCGACGCCCGCAGCCGACCAACACTCGTAGAGCCCCGGCTCTCTAATGATCCTAAGTGAGGACTATCGCCGCGAGACTTGTAAGTTTCTAGCTTTAAATGAGCTACGTGTCTTATCATGCAATCCGCTCGATCAGATAAGCAACTACAGTACTTACGTACTGGAGAACTGTCAAACTCCTCAGATAGTCGTCGACTTGTAGTAGTCGAACCTTAAGATAGGTACATGTATGTTTATATTCAAAGCATGACTCAAGTTGAAGTTCGAAGCAGCGTTATCATTTTACTGACAAAGAAATCGGGATAGGAGGTGCCAGCACTGCAGCTTTCCGCAGCACACGCGCTTTTTAAGCGAGCAGCGAAGAGGAACAAGAAGCGCAACGATGTCGTTCATGAGCTGCTCTAGAGCGAGGTGAGTCTTGTCGTCTTGCTTTTCGAGAGAGCTGTTAGCGCAGTGCGCTTGTATCGCTTTGCAGAATCTGCAGCGCGACAGCAAGTGAGTCACGTCCACGGCACGACAAATGGCTGCGCGCAGGGTTTCAAAGTCGGCAAATTGTTTTTCTTTGCGATAAGCCGGAATATGAGGGAAAGGAAGGGATAACGTTGCCTTGGTGAAGACCGTGGCTTCAAAGAGCGAATCCGCCAAATCTCCGTTGCTCGACGTTGGTATTACAGAGATCCTCGTGACTTCGTGCAACCCCCAATGAATTCGGTCACAATGGTTTCCACGAGCGTACACTACCATCTTCGATACGCTGAGAGGTCGGAGCTGAGTGGAAGCTGAGGGCAGGCTGGGCGTCTTTGTGAAGCTCATGGTGGTGTAGTGTTTGGGATGAAGAGATTTTAAAACTGGCATTGCATGGTGCTTGAGTTATCCCTCCCCGTCCAATCCAGTTGATTGCCATTCTGAAACACTACATCTATCGGTATTCATCCGACCAACACTCAGTCTTACCTTCGTAATCCACCCTGCACACACGTCAGCTTTAATTGCGTCAAGCGATTTACGCCTGAGCACCACTGTGAGCTACATATAGAAATAATAGTCAAAAGAGTGTCGATCAATGCATGCTACGTAGTAGAGGTCTAGTCTTCACTGTATCCGTCTAATCTGTCATTACTAGGTTCTACAGTCTTCGTAGACTCCTTGTGGTCCGATTTTGTGTTTCGTTTCACGAACTTTTAAAATATTTGTCGATGTGTCGAAGAGCTCTGCAATTTTACAAGGCACTCGTTATTTTGCCCGACTGAGGTAACATAGCATCGCCTTTTATACGTGTACAAATAGTAAAGTACGGTTAAATTGGAGTAAAGGTTGGACACTAGCGCGTTTGCACTCGTCTGCGGACTTATAGCCGTGGGCCCGCCCCTCTCTTCACTTGCTGCGCTGCGCTCGGGGGGCGCCGCTGCGCGGCCTGCCCCACCCCGGCCTCTAAGTCCTCGACTCGGCAAGGCGCTGTGTCTGGGATTAGATATTAATTCCGAGCGAGTGTTGCCAAGACCGTCGGCTAAGTCCATTTTATGCATGTTGGGGGGTATAATTGTATAGTCGGTTAGCCAGTCGGGCAAAATACTCACTTCCATTTTACAATCAGGAATTCTCTTTGCACCTCACATTTGAAGTTGCAAAAAGGAAGCTGCAACTGCACCTACCATACTCATTGAGCTTTTGCATCAACTGAATAAATATATGTATCTGTGGCTTGTGTCTTCCCCTCTCTCTCTCAACACGCCACTTCTCGTCAAATAGATTAAAGTCCTAACTTAGGTTCAGCGCAGGTGGTTGGCTTCTGCGGCCTTCTTAAGGAAGCGCACGAGGCGGTACGGGATGTGGTCGAAGCCGTGGCAGTGTGGGCTTCGCTGGCCGTCGCCGCCCCGCCCAATGGCGAGTACCACCATGCGATTCAAATACGCCTCCATCATGTCTTTTCGGTGGGCCTTGGTGGCCCAGATCTTCTCTACGAGGCCTGACGGGCGCTTGCTCGAGTTGCCCACGAACGCCGTGATGTCGTCGCAGTAGATGCAGCCGCGCGCAGGACGCGGCTGCTGCGCGTGTACCCAAATGTTGTAGCGGAGCTTAACGAACTCAGAGAACTCGCGCTCCAGCTGGTAGTCCGACTCCTGCGGACCTGATGGAGGCATCGGTAGTTCCGTGACGCTCTGACGGCGCTGCGGAGTCGTGTCGGCCGCGGTGGACGAGCGACAGTTGGCTGAACTGCGTGACGTGGGGATGCGGATCTCCGGGTTCTTAAGAAAGACCTGAACCACGTAGCAGAGCTTGCCCTTTCGTTTGACAGTCTCGTTCACTTCAACGTGGTCGATGGCCTTGAGGAAGCCCAGAGCGTCTGCTGCCTTGGCGTAGTGGCATGGCCACATGCGCAGCGGCTGCAGGTCTGGTACAAGCAGCATGCTGTTGGCACCGGACTTGCCGGGTGGCGACACTGGACGCATCTCGTCGCTCTGGGGGTGATGCATCATGCGCATTATTGCTTGGATGGTAGTTTGGTTGGCTTGGTAGTCGGCAGAACTGTGAATGGAGAGGTCAAATCATAAGCTGTGGGTGAGGACTTACTCGCATTCTTTCCGCTGCTCTCCACAGTATTATTTATAAAGCTGTACAAAAGCATAGAGGAAGTCATTCTTGAAAACAGCCAAAATTTTGGAGAGTTTCTTATTGAGTTATGGAAGGAAATACAATATAAAGGGAAAACTTTGTGCGTAGAGGTCTGCTTGTCTATGGATATCTGATGCGGCCGTCCCACCCATGGCCAACTGCAACGTGAACAGAACCGCTGCGCAGGAATATGGCGGGAGATGAGCTCCCAGAGCTCGTGAGTCAAGTTGACTGACTCAGTCAGCTCTTGCATGGCTCAAGCACTCACCTCGCTTTGTTATTATCGGATTATTGGATGATAAATGGATGTCTGCTGTTCGTTTTCAGCAGCGTAGCGCCCTTCTTCGAGTCAGCACGTCGCAAGCACGCGGCCAATCCTTCGTCACATTTCTTGGCTATGCCGCTTGGCTGCACCGTCTGTGCTCTTCCCTCGCTTTATCTGGTGTGGTAAACACCACTGGTCGTCCAAAGCTAAATTCAAATGTAAAGTACATTCCTATCATACTTCTTGTACATGTATCTACAGCCCCTGTAGCACAGCCCTGCCTTCGCGCTGGAAACCGCGACCCGAACCATTTCCCAGTCGCTCTTAATGAGCTTTTAGGATAGGACGTGAGAATTGTAACGCCGGAAATATCGCGCGCGTCGATTGCCAACGTGACACCTCGCTGCTGGATTTGTGCTACAGTAAGCATGCACTTCAACGTGCAACTTGTGCTTCGCAAATGCGGTACAGCGACGCAAAATAAACAAGAAAACACTCCAGGATTCTGGTTTTAACCTCGAGGTGACCTCGAAGTTTGCTCCAGAGCTTATGCTACATGACTTTTGTCATGAGCTGTCAAGGCAAACGATCGCCAATCTTTTTTAACAGAAAAAATTGCTTTTTATAAAGTCTCTTTTTTATATCTGTTGCTGAAAACTGCTCATGGTACCAAATACTTCGATACTACTCGAGGTCAAAAGGCTGACACGAAGAAATCTTTGTCAGGTTTTGACAGCATTCGCTTTTGCCACACTTTGCTCTTTAATACGATATTACTCTGCGCTTGCGGCGCCAAACCTTCTCACTCGCTCGACCATTTTATGCCAATACTTTACAGACAACAAATTCATTCTAGACATCGGTGCCCCCGACAGTCTACGGCGAGGTACAGATATTCACAGCCGCAGCAGGTTGACGAGTTGCATAACAGGTATCGTGTGTCAATTGTGCTTTCATGCGTCATCGCGGAGGAACCGCTCGACCAGTGCAGGAATCGTCATATATCCATCGCAAGTGTAGTAACGCCGTGAGTCTTCCTTTCCACCGATGGCCAGCTCGATGTATTTGTTGATGCCCTTTCCCAGCAAACGACTGCGCGTCTTCTTGCTCTTGACAAATAACTGGATAAATAGTCGTGGCTGCGAGAAGCTGGTCACGAGGAAGTCCATGTTCTTGCTGCAATATTTACACGCAGCCCCACCGTCATGCTGGCGCTGCGCGTAGCTCCACATCTGGTAACGCAAGTTAGAAAAGTCGCTGAAACGCTTCTGGACGGTGTAATCTGGTTGGTCTCGTCGCGATGCCTCCAGTCGCTTGTTGGTCGGGATGCGGTTCGTGTGGTGCTTTCGATAGACGTCGATGAAGTAGTAGACGACGCCGCCGATCTCCGCGAAGTTAGTGATCTCGACATGATCGATTGCTTTTAGCACGCCGATGGGCTCCACTGCGCTGGACGAGCGGTGTGGTGTTAGGCAAACAGGTGTGAGGGGTGGTGCCCATGCGCGCTCCCAGAAGGGAACCATGACGGAAGGGCGGTGATGCCGACTCCGATACAGCAGCGACGCACACTTCGGTGACAAGCAGCGAATTGAGAACTGAAGCTCACTCATGTGGCCAGGCAAAGTATTTATACCTGACATCGTCCATGTAGCAGACACCTGGACCATCAAAGCGGCTGGGTGTCATGTTTGCGTTCTCTGTACGCTGCACTGGGCGACACTATGGAACGCAAATATTCGGGATAGGCGGCCAAGTAATGTTGACCGGCCACCTCCGCCCAGTTCCCGTGTCTCGGAGCTCACTTGATGGGAACTGAGGACGCAATCAAGGATCCCGAGATGACTCAATGTGCTGATGGTGCAAGACACTTCGAGCACGACAGATAGTTCTAGCAAGCGAGCTGATACCGGTAGTTGTTTCTATAAATGGAAACAGTATCTCAACGCCTACGCACAGCTCCAAACATTCCTTAGTCTACCAACCTCCAGATACTGGTACATGTATCAAATAATACTAAAGCACTCAAGACCGACAAACGTCAGGCAGTGGCCACCGAATGATACCGTCGTCATTGGAGCTGAAAATTGTGGCTGGTAACGCGCAGAACCCAACAGCCAAATTTTGGCCTACATGCCAAAACAATTGATGGCAAGAAAGAGAACACTAACAACAAAATGAGTGATATCCGATTCACGTGAAGCTCACACTGAACTGAAGTCGTATGAGAGCGAGCATGTACTTAAGTATTCGACAATTTCATCAATTTTTCGATTTTTTGCAGATCAGGTTTGTTTAACTTGATCTCACCTAGTCATCAATACATGTACCGTATTTCGCATGTAGAGAGATGCACCTAATGTTCACATAGCCGGATAAATATATATTCAAAAGACACAATCAAATTATGCAGGAACCTTTTTTCCTTTACAAAAAGTGTATTTACACGACGGCTACGTCAGCACTCACGTTGCCATCCTCCTCTGCGGTGAGCCATCTATCAAAATCGTGATCTTCGTCAGTACTTAACCCTACTAGCGATAGTCGCTGCAACTCCTCCACCAAAGACGCAGCCGCAAGGCAGTCGGTGTCGAGACGCAAGTCGCACTTCTTGTACCCGTAGCTTCTTCTGCACCGTGATGCCCTTGACCGTGTGTTTGGTCTGGTGGCGTCCCTTACCACCGACACGAGGTCTGCCCACTGGGCGAGGCTTCGTGCGTGACATGGCAAATGACCGACTGCCGGCGCAAATTTTGCCGCAAAGACTTAGTTGGCTTAGGAATGGTGCATCTCTCTACATGCGATTTCCTCAATTCAAGATAGCCGAATGTGATTGGTCAATATCTAGGTGCATCTCATATGAGGGTGCAGCTCTCTACATGCGAAATACGGTACCTCACTTTATTAATTTGGAAGTTTCCCTGGATCACAAGTCACAAGCATCGATAACCTGTATGTTCGTTTTTCTCCTTTGGCAGACCATCGATCGGCGTACGAATCTCAAGCAGTCCTGGAGGATATGACCGCAATTTTTATTGCAAAGCTCACGGAAACTCTTAAGCTAAAGATAATCCAAGTGAAAAGAGTTTCGTGTTTCGACGAATCCAACGTTGCTGACACAGAAGTAAAGGGAGCACAGTTATAAAAATTAATATTGATTGATGCCAACTTATTGTGCTCAAGTAATCACGGTTCTTGCAGATTATCTTGAAATAAATACGCCGTTTCGAGGCTACTCGACACCACTACTTATGCGTTCTCCTTCTCAAAGAAGCGATGCACCAAGTAGGGAATGGCCTGAAGACCATCGCACTCCAAGCTGCGCGGTCGAGGTTCTGATCTGCTGCCCAGTGTGAGGTTGATGAACTCGTTGCAGAACGTCGACATCAGCTTTTTGCGCGTGTCAACACCAGTGGTCAATTTCACGAATAAGCGCGGCTGTGACATCGAGTGCACGATGTAGCTCATGAACTCGTCACAATACTTGCAGCCTGTACAGCTCCCCTCATGCTTGCGCTGCGCATACGACCACACCTGGTAACGCAGGTCGGCGAAGTCGTTGAAGCGGCGCTCTAGCTGGTAATCGGGCCGGCCACTGGAAGCGGTCTTGGCCGTCTTGAGCGTTGGGATGCGTGACGTGCTACGCTCCAGGAACACGTCCAGCACGTAGTACACGACGCCGTCACGCTCAGTGGTGTGATTGATCTCGACGCGGTCGATCTTGGCCAGGAACGACAGTGGCTCTGAAGCCTTGGACGACAAAGTGGGCATGACCGGCACGGGTGACAGCGGCTGCCGTCGTGATTAACAGATTGTCGCTCATGGTGGCAGTGGATGCGGAGGACATTGTCGTCGAGCGCAGTATGTCTTTTGGTGGTTGAATGGCTCGAGTACGAACGACTGCAGCAGACAGTCTTATGCGTGAGACGAAAAATGAAAAGTGAGCCAAATTGGGCGATCTGTTTGTGTTGGCTGTCAAGGTCACACCCGCTGTCCTCCCTGCCCCGTCTCGGACGCTCTACCAAGTTGCCAAGGGCGGACAACCGTACAGTTACCCATCATTAATGGTGATTTACCATGAACCAATCCGCACCCATTGGTTGAGACGACGTACCAAGCACCAAAAGTGTACTACTCTGTAGTGTACTACTGTGGCTCAGATCACTTCAGTACAGTACCAGACTGCGGGAGCAGCCAATCGCCTGAGTGATTCGATTGGGGTGAGATGCTGACCATGACGCTCAGGCCATGGCTTGCCACGGCCTGAGCATCGCTCTGCTTGGTGTCGCAAGAGCTCCGTCCCTCTTGTGCCTCAAGAACCAGGGTGCGATATACACGTGGAGTAGGCAGGCACGGTGTGTGTATCTGCTTGCGAGCCGACCACTGCTCAGCGCTCTGCGTAAATGACCAAGCCTCTCTTACTAATAATACGAGAAAGGCACAGTGAAAGAGAGTTTACTCTGAGATACTAAGTCGATAAAACGTTATCACTGTGGAGATTTCACTTTTCCAGCGATCTTCTGGCGATGTCAGCCAACCAATTACTGTACTGCTTGTACCGTATATGTTAGGATCGCTTCGTCGTGCTGCTTTGCTAGAAGGCCCGCCTCAGAAACATCTACCTGTACAGGTATCATGTTGCAGGTTTGTTCCGCAAGACCGACGCCGTCTTCGGACGGTATCCATATTTTCTTCTTTATTAAATGCACAACGTCTGTGAAGAACCATTTATTTTACTTGTGATCCAATCAGCGCGTAAGTTCACTAATGGCAGGCGAGCGGTGTAAATGCTGATTTTTTAAGCTTAAAAAGCCCTCGGACACGCTTATTTGTACTTAGAAGTACCAAACAAGACAGCGGTTTGACCATTGTCGTGTATCGCGTAATACATGTATCGATAAGTCGTCTGCGACGAGGCATTTTGCATGTCACTGGTACAGTAAAAACTTTAATTTTGGGAAAACGTCAGAACGTGTATCATCCTGAAACGTTTTGTCAGTATGTGTAAAACGTGTGTCAATAAGTGTATGGGCTGCCATCGGTATTGACAGTATGTGACAGTCTCAAACAAACGCCAACAGGTGTATGAAAGTGAGGTTTGTGTGTCAAAATGTGTAGTTGGCAACCGTTTGGACGTGTACACACACTTTCAGCCGTGTTATAAAGTGTCGGTGTATGCCAATGCATTTCACGCTAAAGATGTCTTTATACCGATAGAATCAGACATCACTCAGAGTTCCGAATGACTACCTGCCGTTTTCACAAAGAAACCGGGACGCCCCAAGACGAAGCGCATAGGAAGTGTTGGAGAGGACGGTAATAGATCTTCACGGAGTTGCTCAAGTTGCCATCGGAAAGGCCACAACAAGCGTTCATGCACGCAATCGGATGGCACATAACACATTCAAAAAGAGTGTCCCTCAGTCGCTATAAAGCAACAAAGAAGTCAATTTCGTGTTTTTTTGTTTCGTTTGAGCATTTAGAAGGTCACTCAACTCCGGATTTTTTATTAGTGTCCCTCATTCGCGATCGAGCAATAATGAAGTCACTTTCATGTTTTTTTGTTTTGTTTGTGCATTTAGAAAGTTACTCAATTCCGGGTTTTTGCGTTATAGTAACCCTTAAGAAGAATCGTCACTGCTAACGATAGAGTCACCACAGCATCCATCCGCACCACACTGGCATTTAAACCATAATTCATCGCCATAATCAACAGTGACCTCGCTCTCAGCTCGAATATCCTCCATCGTAACGACAACCACCGTGACGAAGCGGCGGTTTTGAACCTCGTAAAAACGGCAATTTACCGCACAGGAATGATTCATGAACCGCGTAATGTTTCCCTTGATATTCGCCTCGATCCACAAGTTCTCCTTGCGCGACGACCGCGCGGCCAAACCGATGGTGTAGTTGCTGGTTCTTTTCTTGTCCTTACGGTAGTCGTGTGTTGTCAACACACCAGCGTACTCAGCAACAATACTTCCACTTTCAATATCCTCAGCCGTGAAAACAGAGTATCCAATATTTCCACGCGCTAGGTGCAGGCCACTCACAGCTCTCAGTCGATTGCCACAGTCAGATCCGTTGAGGCAGTTATTCCGAGCACAAAATATGCTACCCAGTGCATTTGGGCAACCATCCAGTCGGCAAATTGTGTCGCAGCCACACCAATCCATCGGCCCTAAATCGGGTACCAAAATTTTTGTTTGGGTTCTCGGTATTGGTTATCTCCATTACATCAGAAGGCCATGGAACTACGTCATTATCTTTCTGTAGGAGCAAAATGTTCGCTTTCTCATTTTCGCCCGTCTCAGAAGCTCCGTGAGAACGTTCGCTAGACCTGCTGTCGTTTTCGTCGCTGGACTCGTCCAAATAAATTATATCTGGTGTGACAGTCCAGTACACATTGTCGATTTCATCGTGACATCCGGTGTCAACGTCGTTGCATTCAGTCTTGTCATGGCTGCTTTCATCACCACTCTCCATTAAACTAATAATCTCACGAGGCGAAATAGGCGGAGCGCAATACTCTTCGCGATATTCATTTGGCTGATGTGCTGTATTAGAGCCACAATCACTAGCTTCATCACTCACTCTCTCTGTATCTTCATTGTCGCTAGTATTATACAAAACAATCACTTCCGGAAGGTTAGCAATATCTTTGCCAACAGAGCCTACTTCACAATGCTCTGGGGGTAAAATACCCTCTCCTGCCTCCTCGGTTAAATCGACCAGGTCCGTAATGAAAGAAAGTGCTTCATCTTCACGTCGGCTCTCCGCCCCAGTCTTCCCTACACGCGAAATACACGGGCCTCTGTAGCATGGCCCCCTCCAGAAGGAGGCAAACTCGCCTAGCGCCGCCCGTTTTCATCACTCCACAGCGGTAAGCCCGCTTAGAATCTCGGACTGGGGCCCGCCTCTTCATGTACCGCTGTTTCCTGCTCTTCGCCTTGAAATACCCGACTTTAGATGAATGCGCAACGCGTGAGATGCGCTCTTGCGCTGCGTACACCGGCGCAGTTATCTTCGACACCGCAGCAGCTCGCGCCATCTCGGCGTCCCTCACTTGCTGGAATGTGATTGTCTCGTAAATGGGCCGAGTCTATTGTGCTGAACAATGGGTTTCGCCCTATTTATCCCCAAAACTTGTGACAGTACGTGTGCTCGGTTCAAACCTGCCGGTGACCATCACTCTGACTGGCTCTGTAACCGCGTTTGACAAACGTTTGCCCAATTGATACACGTTCTGACGTTTTCCCTTTAATTTTGTACATGTACAGAATCACGGTACGCATGTAGTGCGTCGCTGTCGCCTTGAGGCGGGCAGAATCCGCATCGCTGCCTGACTCAGTGATGGTGAGCTGACACTGACAATGCCATCCACGGAGGACTGCCGTTCACGCGAAAGTGAAACATGAAACCAGCGGTTCGCACCGTAGGATTCTGGGACACCACCTGCCGATGTCAAACGAGAGACTGGTGCTGGCTCTACTGCCGAGGAAGCAGCCAGTAGCTCAGTGAAGACTTGTTTGCTCTTATCTTGCTCGCACTAACGAGTCTTTGCTGCTACTATTATATCGCACCCTGCTTCTTGAGGCACAAGAGGGACGGAGCTCTTGCGACACCAAGCAGAGCGATGCTCAGGCCGTGGCAAGCCATGGCCTGAGCGTCACGGTCAGCATCTCACCCCAATCGAATCACTCAGGCGATTGGCTGCTCCCGCAGTCTGGTTGTGATCTTGCCGAGATTATTGGGGGGGGTTGACATAATACTGAACACGTACAGTACTGTACTGAGGTGATCTGAGCCACAGTAGTACACTACAGAGTAGTACACGTTTGGTGCTTGGTACGTCGTCTCAACCAATGGGTGCGGATTGGTTCATGGTAAATCACCATTAATGATGGGTAACTGTACGGTTGTCCGCCCTTGGCAACTTGGTAGAGCGTCCGAGACGGGGCAGGGAGGACAGCGGGTGTGACCTTGACAGCCAACACAAACAGATCGCCCAATTTGGCTCACTTTTCATTTTTCGTCTCACGCATAAGACTGTCTGCTGCAGTCGTTCGTACTCGAGCCATTCAACCACCAAAAGACATACTGCGCTCGACGACAATGTCCTCCGCATCCACTGCCACCATGAGCGACAATCTGTTAATCACGACGGCAGCCGCTGTCACCCGTGCCGGTCATGCCCACTTTGTCGTCCAAGGCTTCAGAGCCACTGTCGTTCCTGGCCAAGATCGACCGCGTCGAGATCAATCACACCACTGAGCGTGACGGCGTCGTGTACTACGTGCTGGACGTGTTCCTGGAGCGTAGCACGTCACGCATCCCAACGCTCAAGACGGCCAAGACCGCTTCCAGTGGCCGGCCCGATTACCAGCTAGAGCGCCGCTTTAACGACTTCGCCGACCTGCGTTACCAGGTGTGGTCGTATGCGCAGCGCAAGCATGAGGGGAGCTGTACAGGCTGCAAGTATTGTGACGAGTTCATGAGCTACATCGTGCACTCGATGTCACAGCCGCGCTTATTCGTGAAATTGACCACTGGTGTTGACACGCGCAAAAAGCTGATGTCGACGTTCTGCAACGAGTTCATCAACCTCACACTGGGCAGCAGATCAGAACCTCGACCGCGCAGCTTCGAGTGCGATGGTCTTCAGGCCATTCCCTACTTGGTGCATCGCTTCTTTGAGAAGGAGAACGCATAAGTAGTGGTGTCGAGTAGCCTCGAAACGGCGTATTTGTTTCAAGATAATCTGCAAGAACCGTGATTACTTGAGCACAATAAGTTGGCATCAATCAATATTGGTTTTTATAACTGTGCTCCCTTTACTTCTGTGTCAGCAACGTTGGATTCGTCGAAACACGAAACTCTTTTCACTTGGATTATCTTTAGCTTAAGAGTTTCCGTGAGCTTTGCAATAAAAATTGCGGTCATATCCTCCAGGACTGCTTGAGAATCGTACGCCGATCGATGGTCTGCCAAAGGAGAAAAACGAGCATATAGGTTATCGATGCTTGTGACTTGTGTTCCAGCGAAACTTCCAAATAAATAAAGTGAGGTATACTCCGATGACTAGGTGAGATCAAGTTAAACAAACCTGATCGACTAATTCTGCAAAAAACAATTGTTCTGGCATAGGCCAAAATTTGGTTGGTACCAGCCACAATTTTCAGCTCCAATGACGACGGTATCATTCGGTGGCCACTGCCTGCTTTTGTATTATTTGATATATGTACCAGTATCTGGAGGTGTTTAAGGGATGGAATGTTTGGAGCTGTGCGTAGGCGTTGAGATACTGCTGCCATTTATACAAAGAACTACCGGTATCAGCTCGCTTTCTACTGTAGAAGTATCTGTCGTGCTCGAAGTGTTTTGCACCACCAGCATCTCGGGATCCTTGATTGACAAAATCGACAGGCGTATTGGTGAATAGTTATCAATAACCGACACCACTTATAGTGATAGGATCTGTTGAAATGCTTGACATGGTTAAGGCTATAAGCACCATACTACATCAACTGGAAGAGCAATCATGCTGTATTGGGCTAACTACATGTAGTCTACCATCGAGCTCCTGGTCTTTGCAGTGCCTCATCTTGGAATTAAATACGAATACTTAGGCAGTGAGTTGTGCGAGTCTGTCCGAATAACGTGAAACCTTCGATCGATTTCAGGACACACTCACAACGGAGACTATGACTCATTGCGGAAGAAGCGCTCCATTACGTACGGGATGGCTTGGAAACCGTCACACGAAATGTTGCGAGGTCTGGGCTCGGTCTTGCCACCGACGGTCATACAGAGGAACTCATTGCAGAATCTCGCCATCAGTTTCTTGCGCGTGTCCACACCTGTGGCCAGCTTGACGAACAACCGCGGCTGGGACATGGAATGCACGACGTAGCTCATGAACGCGTCACAGTACTTGCAGGCGCATCCGTCCTGATGCTTGCGCTGCGCATACGCCCACACCTGATAGCGGACATTGGCAAAGTCATTGAAACGGCGCAGCAACTGGTAGTCGGGTCGACCTGTGGACGTGTTCTTGTTGGTCGGGATGCGAGACGTGTTATGCTCAAGATACACATCCAACACGTAGTACACGACACCGCCGCGCACAGTGGTGCGGTTGATCTCAACGTGATCGATTTTTTCCAAGAGCGCCAGCGGTTCTGAGGACCTGGAGATTCGAGTCGGTGTGATGGTCACAGGCGACAAGGACTGCAGGTTCGGCATCGCGGAGGGAATTCCAGACGGCATGATCAACGAGTTTGGCTTGGAGAAAGTGACTTGAGTGCTTGGGCTCCGACTGAGACTGAGTGCGTGTCGTAGGCGAAAGTTCACAAGTGATCAACACGACGACGAATTCCGCTGTCCTGGCAGGACTCCTGCAGGGTGGGCGATCACAACCGTAACCATGATAGACAGTGTGCTGGGTTGCCCTTTCCCCGCATGCGATGCCCCAAGCAAAAGTGCAGGGGGGGTCGGAACATGTCCAGTTCAACTGGCAGTTGGTGTCGTTGGTGATTTGAGCGATACATGTATTACTCTAAGATGAGTAAAAAAGAACTCCTAGTATTAATAGAAGCTCCAGGGATCACTTGGTTTCGCTTTACATAGGGAAGCTTCAAAATGGTACAAGTTCCGCAGATTATTACCCTTCCTTGGGCGAGTTGAAATTCTGCGAGGTGCGATAATCCTATCAAATTTATCGTGTCTGGCTCACAATTGTGGCTCCTCTTCAAGAGTCTCAAGAGGCTCTTGAGACCGAGCCGTGACTATTTACTTACCAACCGTGATAAACCGTATCATTGCTCTCGTTATTGTGGCAAAAGCGTTATTTGACACAAATATCCGAAAATTATCCCACAGAAAATGATAATTCGACCCGTACGCAAGAAGCAGGTCGATTTATCATTTCCGCCGTCATATCCTTACGGATACGGATCGGCGCACGAAGACTGCGCTGTGCTGCAGGTTGAACGTGTAGTTCAACGACCGTGAGAACGAGATGCACAGTACACAGTATTTTCCACAGCGTTTTCGAAAAGAACGCAAGCCCTGACATCAGCTCAAATCTGTGTCCTCCCAAAGTTTACAATCACAGCTTCGTGCTTCGCCTTTTTGGCACAACATTCAACCGTTTTGCCTTTATCACGTGCAAGAGCGAAATATGTGGCTGAAATTTCGTTCATATGTCGCCTTCGCATATTGCGCGGTGATATTTCGTGCCGTCTGTTGCTCGAGTGGCAAATGATCCGGTTGATTCTGGCCAATCAAACCGATTCATTGGCCTGGTGTAGCCACGACTTTTTCACTGCAATCTTCAACGGACACTTTCGCACTGTGATGGAGGGCCCCGTTAAGATCGCAGCCGGTGCGCCGGCCCGCGCATGGCAGAGCAAACAAGAGTGGGTTGTACTTGTGGAGAACATCGCGCAGTCTCGCGCACGACTCGCCTCCGGTATCCAGCTGGCCATCGAGAAGCAGTGGGGCAACAACTTCACCGGTGTGGCAATTGTAGTATTTTTTGTGAAAAATGTCGAATAATACTAATAATACTAAGTATACAGCCAGCCTGCAGGAATATGCGGCGACCAAGGAGAACGAGATCCGCGACGTATGCAGCTCCAATTTCCAGGAGTTTGTAGACTCGATCGAGGAGATCGTGCATATGAAGGCGGACGTATCCAAGCTGCAGGTGGTTCTAGTACTCACGCCTCAAAATAGTACTCAAGTTCTGATATAATATTTATGATCATCGGAGCAGAATGATATCGATCGTTTTCAGAGCGAACTCGTAACGTCAACGTCGGGGATCCTCTCAGTCCACGACTCCCTGGCCACATGCTGTATGGTGCAAAAGCACATTGACGAGTCCATCGAGAAGCTACAGCAATGCCAACGCATAGTAAGTTGAGAAGTCATAAAAATAGTACTCCTGCCAATAACGATTATTACTACTGGGTAGGTGGCTCTCGCTGCATCAATCGAGGCTTACATCCAACAGGGCAAACTGTTCCATGCACTCAAAATGCTTGAAGAACTCCGCGTCGAAATTGCAGCCTTTCGAGTACGATTTTTGTTGCTCAAGCTTTCAGTTTTGCTTCAAGGATCCTAAACTCCCGGCTCTACTAGGGTCGACTATTCCCACAACGCATGAGCGACTGGATGCACGTTGCCATGCGAACTATCAAGGACGAAGCGAAGCGAAATGCCTCCGTCTGGCTGGAAGATGTTCGCGCGGCGTCATTGGTACGAAAAATTCAAAACTTAGACACCAAAATTTGGACTAAATTTTGATATTTCTGTTTTTTTTTGCTGTTTAGTCAATTGGTCAAGCAGCAATTCATCGCCTGGAGAACCAAATCAGCGAGCAATACTACGAACAGGACGTGCTAGAGAAGAGCGGCCATGCGCTTGGGAGATCCAACAGCGGCCAAGTTCCTGCCAGTCCTCGAGCCTCGTTGAGTCCGTCCGACTCGGGAAGATCGTTAGTGAGCGAAGACTCGTTCAAGCTGCCGTCCATCCGCGTCTTCAACTCCGACGCTGATACTTTACGCGAGCGCAGTAACATTCACTCCAACTACATGAAAAGAAGCTCTGGCTCAGCTGTCGCCGATGCTGAGGATCCTCCACGTCTTCCGTGCCATAAGTCAAGTCCCTGAACTGGCGGCGTTCTACAATGCCAACCGCTTGGTAAAGATGGCTACGTTTATTAAGTTTTAGAGGTTTTGTTCTGCTGTTATTTAACGTTTGTTTTTGCACTTTTATTAACAGCCTCAATTGCAGTTAACGTCGTTTCTAAGAGGCGCAGTTACTACGATCACTCCGGACAAGTTTGTAGCGCAGCACGACGAGCTGTCCAAGAAGTTGACGGGCGCTTTTTGCCTTGAACATTTGCTGTGGCGCTACTCGGACGCTGCGTTGCTGTCCAAGAAAGAGATCAATGGGATCTTCCATCTCGTGATGCAGAGTTTGTGTGGCATTGTGTCGACTTCGGTCTTGAGCGTCAACGTGCCGAGTACGATCCTCGATATCAAGCTCCGAGCGATCGTGTGTGCTCGAACGCTAAGTGACGAGGTGCACGAGTACAACTCCACGCTGATGTTTGACACTTTCCGTCGCTTGGGAACGCACTTCCGGAGCGCAATCATGGCGGAAACCAAGAGGTACTTTAATACATGGCTGCAGAAGGAGGGCGAGGGTATTGACACAACTGTGTGGCGTGGACTGCAGGAAGCTTCGGGAATTCATGTCCAGCGATACTTTCGAGCGCGTTCAAGTCTCTTCCGAGCAACTTCGAGCGGTATTTTTCACGGACTTTTGTCGGCCGGATTGTGTTTTAAACTCAGTTCTTTTTGTATTTTAGACGCTGCAGTGCTGCGGATTGGAGAAAGAAGACGGACGTTTGTTGAAGAATGTCGATCTCGGATCCAACCTCGTTGTGCTGCCGTTTACCAGTGTACGTGTGGCTGATAAAAGCTGGGTGTGTGGCATTCACTGACCTCTGTATCTTTTGTTTTATTAGGTGGTCGTAAAGAGCTGTACGAGTATCGAGGCGCTGGTCCAGATGATGTTCGACTATGAGCGGTAGGAATGGAACTCTCTCGTTGTGTGAATGGGTACAATGATTATTCACTCGTGCCGTGATGTAGCTATTTGAACATTGACGACTGGGGCGAGTGGGTGCGAAGTGACACGATCGAGGCGCTGTCGTTTCTTAACGAAACGTTGAACGAAGTGATCGACCAGCACACAGACCTGCAAGTTTCGACGGTATACAGTAGTAAACAGTAGTGGGTGCGTGTAGTGTCTTACAGCTCCTCCTTGTTGCTTACAGGCCGTCATGATGGGGACGAACGCGTCGTTTCTGGCTTGTGCCTGTGATCGCTTCGAGGAACACGTCAAGATTCAGACGGAAGCGTGGGAAGCGCGGACGTATGGCTACAGTGTCAGTAATACGCTCCGAGGAGCGAACACGCAACTCATAAAGCCTTGCTCCAGTCGACTGCTGTTGAGTAAGGCTGCAGCCAAGAAGAAGTTCGAGAGCACAACTACAAGAGCGCAAGATATGGTCTGCGAGCTCATGGTATGGTGTTGAAAGTATTTTTTTTAGTGTGTAATACTCATCTGCTACCTGTTTTTTATTCTAGTTGAAGAAGATTGACGAGTTGTTATCGAGTTTCTACTACCTCAACTGGACTCCCAGTGCGGTGCTGACCCAGCCAGATCCTTCCATGTGGGACCTCATCAACTACCTCAAAGTGACGTTTGCGCAACTGGGTCAGCTGCCTCCAGCAGTCCAGGAAGCTGTTCACTTTGCTTCGTGCAGCTATCTGGCCAAGTCGCTGGAGCAGATTTTGAGTGGGGCCACGGTGAAGAAGCTCAACATGGAGGGGATTGCCAACTTCAAACGCAACTTGGACGTGCTGCTGGACTTCATCGAGTCCGTCCCGATTGCTCAGCTGAAAGATTGCTTCGTGCCCATCTCGCATCTCGTCGACCTCTTCGTCTCTGGACGCGTCGAAGCTTTCCTTGATCCGCAGCAAAAGTACGTCCCATCATTTTCAGTTTTGTAGAAAAGTGGTGAGTATACTCACATCTTGTTTGTGGATCTTTTATGAGTAGAGATGCTCGTGGCAAGTACTCGCATCTATCTTCCGACACTGTTTCCGCTGTACTCGCCAAGATGAAGGATGGAAAGAGCTCATCAAAGGCATGGGGAGCGACATTCGTTAGTGCTCCAAAGAAGACCCTCTTCGGAGTTAAGAGCTCTCGAAAATAAGCCTTAAAACCGAGAAATAAACAACTTGTTTAAGGTGTGGTGGGTGGTGGAATGGACTCCATGAGCTGCGTTTGCAGCCATTCCAGACTCTGCGCCCCACTCTGTCGTCGTCTCTGACTACACTCTCCAAGTAGAACCAGTAGATTCCCGATCGCGGGCTGACGTTCTCCTAGTTTTGCCACGTTGCGATGCAGCTTCGCGTCGTTGCCAGACCGCGCAGCTAGACGGACTGCTCCATTGAGTAAAGTTCTACTGACACTCGTGTCTTCGATTTGATTTGACGAGTGTGAAGTCTTGAGTTGTTGCGCATATGTGCGTGATAAATGATAGAAAATGTTTCTAGAGAGCGATCCGACCTGGTTGCTCTCGTGACGAATCGCTGCGTCTCCAAGTCGAGTCTGCAGCTTCTCCAACTTCTCCTGCGTCGTCTGTTCTCGATCGAGAAGACGACAAAAAGCTTCGAACGTCAACGCAGCATCCACCAGATCTTTCATCCTTCCGAGCGACGCGGGCGTCTTCGTCTCCAGTGGCTTGTTCTCCTTTACGTTCTCGAGAAGAAGATTCGCCCACGTGCATTCTTCTCGTTTCTTCGCGTACCGAACTATCAACTGCAGTGTAGATAACTGGAATTCACTGAAGACACGACGTAGAACATTCTCCTGTCGTTGGGTCTCGACGGTAGTGACCTCGCTCTTCTCTAGATCAGACCAAAGCTGGTCCACGCGACTGCGCAGTGCCGTCTCAAACGAGACCAATTCACTCTCCGACTCCGGAGTTTCTGGACTTTTCACGAGTTTTGTTAGCGACTGACGCACTTTGTGCTGCATGGTCGACACGTTGGCGGTCTCTGCTTTGGTCGAAAACGCTGCTGCCACGTTCTTCTCTTCTTGTTCAAGCAGATACGTCGAGGCAGGCAAACTGGCACGTCTCCAGGACAACAAGACGCGGAGAAAGAGCACGATCTGCTTCATGAGATTCCCCGCGTTTTCCTGCGTTGATCGAGCCATTCCTGCGCACGAGAAGACGTTGGGAGCCATCACAGTGGCCAGCGCTTGCGTCGTCATCTGGTTGACCGAGCGGTGCGTGTTAACCTCCAGCATGTGCTCCAGCAGCCATTGAAACACAGCGTTCTCTCGCTGGCCCAGTTTCTGAAGGGTGCGTGCGATCTGAGCGTCCACTAGATCGATGTTTTCAGTCGTAACGAGGTGCAGATCATCGTCGTCGTCGAGCTTCCCCGTGGTTACTAACTTGGTGACGGAGGCCAGATCGTGGACATCCAAGACGTCCAGTAAGAGAACGGGCAGCTCACGAAGCCACAGCTTCAGGAGACTGGCGTACACGTGTGGATCTGAGACTTGGGCGGGCTCAAACGAGCCTCGATTGATCGCGGCTTTGGCACGTTGCACCTCGTCCTGAACGGGTGAAACGCGGAAGATGTATTTGCATTTCAAGCCTCCGTGACGCGCCAGTTCTCGACGTAGCATGCGGACGAGTGCTGGCACTTGGTCGTCGATGTCTGTTCCTTGTCGACAACGCATGTGGGATAACGCGATCCCGAATTGTTTGTGCAGCGCTGCCCACTCGGCGGACATGGGTGCGCCTTCGTACTGGGCCTGGATGGAGTTGTACTTGACACAGACATCGTGGGAAGCTCGGAACGGATCGCCGACGAAGATTTTGCCACTGGAACGCGTCGATCCTTCGCGGTTGGTGGCTCCTAGAGCGGTCTCTGAGCGCCAATTGAAGCTTTGTCGTCTTGAGTGTCGATTGGGCGAGTCCACGGTGTATTGGTCGTTGTAGGCACGCATTGCAGCCGCTAGACTTGGAGACGATGTGGATGTGGACAGGGAGGAGAGAAGGCGGTTCACACGAGCGTTAGTGACTGTGTCGATGCTTGCGAGAGGGTCATCTCGGGACGATACGGACAGCCATGATGACTTTACGGATGGAGACGTTGGGGGAGACGACGAAGCCTTTGGACGCAAAGATACTGGCGATCGTGGAGGCCTTTTAGAGGCGACGTCGGACGAGATTGATAAAGAGTTTAAAGAAACGTCGCTAGACGTTCGAGAGTCGTTGAGCTTGACAAAGCGAGCCGAGGGATCGCGAGTACTGCCACGCATGACTGGGGACTTGGCAGAGGATGGCAAGAGCTTGAACTCCGTCGCAGGTTGACGGAAACTCGCAGTCGTCGATGTGCGATGCTCGAGATTCAGCTTGTTGTCCTTCTGACTGAGCGCTGGGAGCTCGTCGGTCGACAGGGTTAACAGGTCGTCAGCACTTGCAGAAGCGTGTAGCTGTAGCTTTGCCGGGACCATTGGAGACTGCGCCCGAAACTCGAAAGTCTCGCCCAGTAACCCGGTCGAAGCTTCACCCTCAACGTCGCTATGTGAAGATGACGAGGCGTCACTAATCTCCTCTGCGATTTCATTGTCGAGTTCTTGCTCAACCGTAGGAGCTGCAGGTTTCTCTCCACCGGCAAAGACCCTTTCAATGTGCGCTTCACGACGTATGAACTCGTGTTGCATGCACTCGACTGCAGTCGGGCGTTCGGCGGGATCTTTACGTAGACAGAAGCGTAGGAAATCCAAGAACGCCGCCGACCATTTCTCCGGGTGAGCGACTTGTGGCGGCGGGTTGCGAGGGATTTGGATGAGGACTCGCATAGGATGCTCGTCAAAGAGTGGCGGCTTCTGGTCTGCTAGCTCAATCGCCGTGATCCCCAAGGACCAAATGTCGGCTTTGAAGTCGTAGTCGCTGTCTTGAATGAGCTCCGGACTCATCCAGTACGGGGTACCCACGAATGAACCCCGACGAGATAAAGTGTCTCGGAGTTGAGCTGACACACCGAAGTCCGCGATCTTGACTTGGCCGGAATCCGTAAGTAAAATATTGCCTCCTTTCACGTCTCTGTGGATCTTACGACGCGAGTGCAAGTACGCTAGACCGTTGAGTGCTCCACGCATGATAATGGAGATCTCCCGTTCATTTAAGGAGCGGACACGACGGACATCTCCCACCGACCCACCGGCACAATGCTCCATCGCGACCCATAACGCGCCGTCCTTGTAGTAGGCGCCGTGGAAGGCTACAACGTTCGGGTGGTCGCATTCGCGTAAGAATTGGATCTCACGTCGCACGCTTTCAATGTCTTCCCCCCGTTCGCCAGCTTCAAGTGCGACGGGGATCACTTTTAACGCTGCGAGGCGTGCACGGTCCTTCTTGTAGCAGGCGCGAAACACGCGACCAAAAGCGCCGGCGCCTTCCTTGCGTTGGAGCTCGAAAACGTCTTCCGGGTCAACTTCCTCGAGCCCCAACGTCTTCAAGACCGGGAGCTCGGCACTGGTGACGGCGTACGACGCACGACGAGGCTTCGCCATCGAGAAGGGGCGAGAGATTTTAGCGACACAATCAGGGACGAGTCGCAGCTTTATCTATAGCAACCGTCGGATGCTCAACAAACTATTCCGGTTAGCTGCTGGATGTGGCAGTTGGTTTGATCACGAGAATACCAGAACTTTGGGACAGGAGCATGCTCGCCGCTTCTCGAAGCTGTAGATCGATGGGAGACTCTCGCACTTTGGTAACAAGTCATTGTCCAATACGACAGCAAGGAGAGAGTGACGATGCCGGAGAAGGTGACGGGGCAAAGCGTTGGTATTGATCTGGGCACGACCTACTCGTGTGTTGGTGTGTGGCAGAATGATCGCGTGGAGATCATTGCCAACGATCAGGGGAACCGCACGACCCCGTCGTACGTGGCGTTCACCGACACGGAGCGTCTCATCGGTGATGCAGCCAAGAACCAGGTGGCTATGAACGCGCACAACACGGTGTTTGATGTCAAGCGGTTGATCGGACGTAAGTTCACCGATCCAGAGGTGCAATCGGACATTAAGCACTGGCCGTTTAACGTAATTCGTGGTGCCGAAAGCAAACCGCAAGTGGTGGTGCAGTTCAAGGGGGAGAAGAAAACATTCCAACCAGAAGAGATCTCGTCCATGGTGCTGATCAAGATGCGCGAGGTCGCGGAGGCTTTCATCGGGAAACAAGTGAAGAATGCAGTGGTGACGGTCCCGGCCTACTTCAACGACTCGCAGCGTCAGGCGACTAAAGATGCTGGGGCTATTGCTGGTCTGAACGTGCTGCGTATCATTAATGAGCCGACGGCTGCTGCGATCGCCTATGGGCTCGACAAGAAAGGAGGCGAGCACAACGTGCTGATCTTCGATCTCGGAGGCGGTACGTTCGACGTCTCACTGCTAACTATTGAAGACGGGATCTTCGAGGTCAAGGCGACGGCGGGTGACACCCACTTGGGCGGTGAGGACTTCGACAACCGTCTGGTCGAGTTCTTCGTGACCGAGTTCAAGCGTAAGCACCGCAAGGATATGACGTCGAACCAGCGAGCTCTGCGTCGTCTTCGTACGGCGTGCGAACGCGCCAAGCGGACGTTGTCCACTTCGGCGCAGGCGTACATCGAGATCGACTCGCTGTTTGACGGCGTGGACTTCAACTCGACCATCACGCGCGCGCGGTTTGAAGACTTGTGCAGCGAATATTTCCGCAAGACCATGGATCCTGTTGCGCAGGTTCTGCGGGATTCCAAGTTGTCCAAGAACCAGGTAAACGAGATCGTATTGGTCGGAGGCTCGACGCGCATCCCGAAGGTGCAGCAGTTGCTGAAGGATTTCTTCAATGGCAAGGAGCTGTTCAAGTCCATCAACCCGGACGAAGCCGTCGCGTACGGCGCCACCGTGCAAGCTGCGATTCTGAGTGGCAACGAGTCGTCTTCTAAGCTGCAGGACCTGTTGCTACTGGACGTCGCGCCGTTGTCGCTGGGCCTGGAGACAGCCGGTGGCGTCATGACTAAGCTCATTCCACGCAACACAACGGTGCCGTCGAAGAAGACGCAGTCGTTCTCGACGTACGCCGACAACCAGTCCGGCGTGTTGATTCAGGTGTTCGAGGGCGAGCGGACTATGACGCGTGACAACCATCATCTGGGCAAGTTCAACCTGGACGGCATCCCGCCCATGCCGCGTGGCGTTCCGCAAATTGATGTCACGTTCGACGTTGATGTTAACGGTATTTTGAACGTCTCGGCCGTGGAGAAGTCCACCGGTAAGGAGAACAAGATCACGATCACGAACGATAAAGGTCGACTGTCGCAATCCGACATCGACCGCATGGTCGCCGACGCTGAGAAATACAAGGATCAAGATGAACGCAACAAACTGCGTGTCGAGTCGAAGAACGCGTTGGAGAACTACGCGTTTTCGCTTCGAAACTCGACGCGCGAGGAGAAGATAGCGGCGAAACTGAGTGAAGAAGACAAGAAGAGTATCGAGGACAAAGTTGCGGAAACGCTGCATTGGCTGGATGCCAACCAGGCAGCGGAGAAGGAGGAGTTTGACGCCAAGCAGCAGGAGCTGGAGGGCGTGGCCAATCCTATTCTGCAGAAGATCTATGCGTCGGAGGCGGGTGCTGGAATGGGAGGAATGGGCGGAGCTGGTCCACGACCTGGTGGACCGAGTGGTGCTGGGAGTGCCGACGGGGAGGAAGGTCCCAAGATCGAAGAGGTGGACTAAGCGGGACGGACGGGCGAGATTGAGGGTGGAAGCTTACGCTATAAGCATTTTTGAAATGGTGTAGTCGTTGACGTTGCTCTCTTGCTGGAGCTGTTGTCAATGTGAAAATAACACCAACAAGCGTATTGAAGCTCATGAAGTTATTGCGTACTACTACGTAGTACTAATTGTCCTCGATCCTCTGAAAGGAGATCAAAAACCTAAGATCCATTATGATACGTTCTTGGTGCGGTAATTCGCTCCACTTCAACTTCAGCAGACGCGGCAAGTCTAGCGCAAAAAAACAACTTGTCAGCTTTTACTCGTCTACATGTAGTGGCCACAGTTGCAGCGCCGCCGTCCGTGAGACTGGTGCATACTTGAATGCGGTTATCAATGGTCGTGCCGGTGAGTTCAAGTCGCGCCGTCCGTTATGATATCGGGTTTTATCTTGCTTTTCGTATGCTCGATCTTGTGCAAAAAACGCAACAAGTTGCCCCGCCGATTGCCAACCACTCGCTGTTACCAGAATCAGAAAAACGACCAAACGACCAGCTAACTTACGATCGCACGGCGCCCTCCCGGCCATTTGCCGACCGAGTCCTGCGCAACCCTGTAACCATGGTCGACGAGGAGGTGGCGCGCTCTCTGGAGCAGGAAGCCATCGCGCTTGTGAATCTCAGCAACCCCACGAAATTCGTGTCGAACCAGCCGCTTGTCGAGGCTGAGAGCGCCGGTCAGGAACAGGACGCGTCGGCGGAACTGCTGGACGGCAACATCTCCATGAAGTCGCTGCTTGTGACGCTCAAGAAGCGGAAACTGCAGCATCCTGAGGCTCAGGTGAAGGAGGAGCAGCCAACCGAACCTGATACCGTCGACGACGCCAAGCTCCCGAGCTTCCGCACCGTTTTCCAGCCCCAGCAACAGGAGAATGAGGAGACGGGGGAACCTGTGCCGCCGGAGCTCAAATGCAAGTACCGTACTGGCAAATGCCACAATGCGCGTGCGCTCAAGTCGTGCGGAGACTACCACAATCTGTGCAACTACCACCGACTGCGCGCTAATGCCAACCAGCGCAAACTGGACCGCAAGAAGAAGGAGCAGCGTCTGCAACAGCAACAGCTCACGGCCAGCGCGTCGTCCTCACCGCGCGCGCAGCCGCTCCTCGCTTCGTCACATGCGGCCGCGGCGGCACTCGCGTCTCTCGTGGCTGCACGGCCTCAGCACCACTTTGACATGTTGCAGCAGAGACCGCTCTTCGCCTCGGGCGCCACCGTGCAGGAGGTGGACAAGAACAATAGGAATAGAAGCACCCCCAACTGTGTCCGTCCCAAGCAGGAAGACGCCTGCAGTTATTAGACTGGCACTAAGTCGCTCTTGGGCGCAATGTGCCCCTCATAGACCCCCCCCCATAAACAGATAAACAGAGCAACAAACGCGTGACCTCAAGACGCGGTAGTACAGTACATAGTTATTCGTCTAGCTAGAGCTTCATATTAACGTCTAGCAACTACGGAAGATAGTACCGCGTTATGTGTACACGACCAGGAAGATCATGACAACGAGCACGGCCACTAGGAAGAGGATGAGTCCAAGTTGACATTTGTCTAAAAAAGTAGCAAATTGGCAAAGTTAGCATAACTTTGAAATTTCTGGAGTGTATACACGTATACCTTTTGTCTTCAGGAGTTTGCTCAAACGTCCCATGACAAAATTCATTCGCTCTTGTGCTTCGTCCACATCGTCAGTCAGATCGTCCAACATTCTGTAGCCAACACACACAAAAAAATACAATTATCACACTGCCGAATAAAAATTTCAAACCTGCAAAGAGTACGCACTTATTCTGGTGTTTGACTTCGCTCGAGATCTCCACGGTGACTCCATGCAAGCGTGTGATATCCGAGTGAAGTCCTGCCAAACTGTCATTCTGCTCCTGCATAATTTGCTGTAGCGATACCAAAAGAAAATCCGCCATCACTCGTGCATTAGCAGCTATAAACCCAGCGTTAATCAGCAAAAAAAAACTCGCACCTGTTGCCGCTGTGTTTCATCCTCCAAAAATCGCTCGTTTCGCTCTTGCCCCGTGAGATTTGACCTGAAAGACGTCGACGACTTCGCTGGTTGCATCAACTGCACGCGTGTCAGCCGAATATCACCATCCATGCAGCCTATTTCTCTCCATACCTTGCGTTCTTCTTTGCGGATCCGTGTCTTCACAGTGTCGGTTGAGATTTCGGTTGAAACAGCTTGGAGTTCCTGTCCCCACATGACATTAGCTCTTTTTTTATTCCTTCCTCTCCTGAATCTCCACGCTTTCTCTCACCTTTCTAGTGGCGGCTACAAACGCTTTCCGACTTGCGATCTCCGCCGCGTCAATGTGCTCGAATTTTGCTCGATTGGCTTCCACCATGACGATGGTCTCTTCCAAAAACTTGAGCGACTTCTCCGCTGTCACCACGGCGCCCTCGATCTCTACAGCAGCACGCTGTCAGTTGCGCGTTGCAATAAAGAGAACGTTGTAGTCAATGCAGCACGCACGATGTGTAAGCGCCGGTAGTTCCTTTGCGGCGGGTGAGTCTTTGACGTCCAAGATGGCGCGCCATTTGGCGTGTTTCTGATTCACGGCCGACACTTTGCTCTCCAGTTCACTATACGCAGCAGTGTTAGAGACGGCAAAGCGTATATCATAACCGCTACAGCCACACGCACTCCTTGAAAACGTAGAACGGGTCGCCGCTAGCTGCCGCCATGGACGGCTCCTTCTTCATCATAGCCTGGAGCTATTGGTATCTGCAGACGCCGCTTGACAGGCGTTTTCGTACTTAATCGCGAAGAAAATCAGTGAAAAATGAAAAATCGAGTGGGAAAATCCATAGGTTCGTTTTTTATTTCTGCCTGAAAAAAATATGTTTTTGCTTTTCATTTGCTATTCATAAAAAGCAAAACATTTTTAATTATAGTGTGGATTGGTCGGAGTGTTGGTGATTGGGAATGGAGCTGGATCGAAGAGAAATGAATGCACTGCTTCGGGGACGAGACTGAGGCCTGCGCAGTTGCATCGGGTTGGATGTAAGGTGGACTTGACGGTGAGGTGGAGAATATCCGTGACGAAGTTCAGAAGCGACTTTGACGCTCGCTTACCGAGAATACTCAGGAACAGCCCGTCTGGGTTCGGTCCGAACACCAAGAAGTCCACAATCTTGCCGCAAAATTCGCAGTGGAGGCTGCGGTGGGCCCCACGCACGATGCTGTACACTTTGTTGCGCAAGGCTATGAATTCGTGTAGTTCTCGATGGATCTGGAAGGTTTGTGACTGTGATTGGGTGTTACCTTGAAGGTTAGACGATTCGCCAATGGGGATCCTTGATATCTCTAGTTGGATAACTTTGAACTACCTCGACTGGATAAAGCACTGTGGCTCTTGTTTTCACGCGCAATATTCGAATCGAGCGGACTGCCTTGAGCTGCAACAGCGCGGTTCGCCGGCCTGGGAGGTTTATCACGGGATCAAGTGTAACGGACTTAAGCGGTCGAATACATTTAGTCGACTGATCCCATACCATTCGTGGGGAGCTCACAGATTGTGGTAGTTGCTAACGTGGATAGTTTTTTTTAAAGTAAGGAAAGAGCGACCCGAGTTCTCAACTTGTACTACAAATTGCAACTGCATGCTACCCAGGCTGTTTTTATCCATCCAATCAACCAGATTACCGCAAGTCGTGGATGCGCTCCAAACTGGTGTCCAATCGACTGGATTGGATGAATACGTCGGACCACTATATTAATAGATACCGTGGAGAGTGGTATCAATACACGTACGATTGTAAACAATTCGTAAAACGAACGCCCGCATTCTGTCGGCAATTCCTGTTTACAGAAGATTTTTCAGAACCCTGAAGATCATGGCTTAACGATCGCGCTTGTGGCTGTAACTTGTACTTGTATTGCTTTTAATCTGAACCACGCCAAATGATTCAATGAAGCAGCACAGCTTGATGTGAATGGCGACCAGCTATCAACTATCTGAAAGCAAGCAAAAGTCTTGCAGCAAGTTGCTCAACTCGAGTCGACGGTCGACCCAGACCAAACAATTTATGCTCATCACAACCGTCTACTCCATCTTGCGAATTATGCATACTACGACTATGTAGAGCGCATTCACTCCACTACGAAATAATTTTTCAAACAAGAAAGATAAACCATTACGGGGGGGGGGGGGTATCAGTCTACTGCATGTGCACATATATTTACTTTATTGGTTTCTTTGCTAAAATAATCTGAGCATATCTATCAACATGCACTTCTCCCACACCGAATCACTGGCGACAACTTAGTCCACCTCCTCGATCTTCGGACCCTGCTCGGCACCCGACGAGCGAGAGTCAGTACCAGGCATATCATTCGGCATGCTACCGGGCATACCATCACCAGCACCGCCTGCAGATGCATACACCTTCTGCAGCACCGGGTTAGCCACGCTCTCCAGCTCCTTCTGCTTCGACTCGTACTCCTCCTTCTCCGACGATTGGTGCGCATCCATCCACTGGATCACTTCCGTCACCTTGTCGTCCACCACCTTCTTGTCGGCTTCCGGGATCTTCTCCTTCATCTTCTCGTCGTTCAGACTGTTTCGCAGACTGTACGCGTAGTTCTCCAGCGCGTTCTTCGCCTCGATACGCACCTTGTTGGCCTCGTCCTCCGACTTGTACTTCTCGGCCTCCGCCACCATGCGTTCGATCTCGGCCTGCGAGAGGCGGCCCTTGTCGTTCGTGATCGTGATCTTGTTCTCCTTGCCGGTCGACTTCTCCACGGCCGACACGTTCAGGATGCCGTTGGCGTCGATGTCGAACGTCACGTCGATCTGCGGCACCCCACGAGGCATGGGCGGGATGCCGTCCAGGTTGAACTTGCCGAGCAGGTTGTTGTCGCGTGTCATGGTGCGCTCGCCCTCGAACACCTGAATGAGCACGCCCGGCTGGTTGTCCGCGTACGTCGAGAACGTCTGCGACTTCTTGGTCGGCACCGTCGTGTTACGAGCAATCAGCGTCGTCATGACACCGCCCGCCGTCTCCAGACCTAGAGACAACGGCGTCACATCCAGAAGCAGCAGGTCCTGCAGCTTCTCGGACGAGTCGTTGCCGCTCAGAATGGCAGCCTGCACCGTGGCGCCGTACGCGACGGCCTCATCTGGGTTGATGGACTTGTTGGGCTCCTTGCCGTTAAAGAAGTCGGACAGCAGCTGCTGCACCTTGGGGATACGCGTGGATCCGCCCACGAGCACCACCTCATGCACCTGGCCCTTGGACAGCTTGGCATCGCGTAGAACCTTCTCCACGGGCTCCATCGTCTTGCGGAAGTAGTCGCCGCACATGTCCTCGAAACGCGCGCGCGTGATGGTCGAGTTGAAGTCCACGCCGTCAAACAGAGAGTCGATCTCGATGTAGGCTTGTGCCGACGACGACAGCGTACGCTTGGCACGCTCACACGCCGTACGCAGACGACGCAACGCGCGCTGGTTCTGCGTCAGGTCCTTGCGGTGCTTGCGCTTGAACTCCTGCACGAAATGCTCGACGAGGCGGTTGTCGAAGTCCTCACCGCCCAGGTGCGTGTCACCCGCTGTGGCTTTCACCTCGAAGATGCCCTCCTCAATACTCAGCAAAGACACGTCAAACGTGCCGCCGCCCAGATCGAAGATCAGCACGTTGCGCTCGCCACCTTTCTTGTCCAGGCCGTACGCGATCGCAGCGGCGGTCGGCTCGTTGATGATACGCAGCACGTTGAGCCCAGCGATAGCACCGGCATCCTTGGTTGCTTGGCGTTGGGAGTCGTTGAAGTAAGCCGGCACCGTGATGACGGCGTTCTTGACCTCCTTGCCGATGAAAGCCTCGGCCACCTCGCGCATCTTGATCAGCACCATGGACGAGATCTCCTCCGGCTGGAACGTCTTGGTCTCACCCTTGAACTGCACCGTGATCTGCGGTTTGTCACCGGGACCCGCCGTGATCTTGAACGGCCAGTGCTTGATGTCGGCCTGCACCACGGGGTCTGAGAACTTGCGACCGATGAGGCGCTTGGCGTCAAACACCGTGTTGGCCGCGTTCATAGCGACCTGGTTCTTGGCAGCGTCACCGATCAGACGTTCCGAGTCCGTAAACGCCACATACGACGGGGTCGTGCGGTTGCCCTGGTCGTTGGCGATGATCTCCACGCGGTCGTTCTGCCACACGCCCACACACGAGTAGGTCGTGCCCAGATCAATGCCCACCGAGTATCCAGACGTAGCTTGAGTCATCTTGAGTTCTGATGCGAGTTTGTGTTGGGTAGTTTATGTAGTAGGTCTTGTAGTCTTCGCTATCGGACGTTCCGAAGCCTGTTGTTGTTAGTGTGAATCGCTTGATGTCCACAATGGAAATTCAGAAATGAGCGTAGCTGGCAAAGACAGACAGCATAGCAGCACTGACAGTCAGGGTGAGCAAGTTGGTCGGGTTGGTGCCTCCCGTCCCGTCTCGCATCTCGATGCTTCGAGATGATTCGGACTGAGTATGGTTTGCAGAATCGGGGCTTCGAGTCGAAGTTCGACGGGTTTTCTAGACTGTGCTCAATGAGTCTGAGACAGTGAGGTAAGGACGGGGTGTTTAGCAATGGAGTCCATAGTATGGACAGGCGTGAGCTGGTCGTGACGTGTTTGATTGGCCGATTGGTGCACCAATGAAGAGCCCAGAACGGGCTCACTTCAACTCGGCCGACACAATTATATCGCTCCTGGTGAGCAGCTACGACTATTACGGGCTTGGATCGTATCCCTTATAAGGTACATTAAGGATAAGTTGTAAACTATCTCTCTTTCCTAATGCGAACCATTCTCAGGGATAGAAACTGCTTCTGGCATTTAAACAACTTCTTGCCTGAAGAGGTGAACCTTTTAATGGCTTGCTGCAAGGTTCGGAAGACGACAAGAAGGTGGTGGACGACAAGGTGACGGAAGTTGTAGGTTGCAGAAGCAACTGAGACAGCACAAGACGTAGCAACTGCCAGGAAGGCGTAGTTTCCCAATGCTACAGTGAATCTATCGATACGGTAGCAGGAGTTCGGCCCAAGCTGCTCATTCTCGAATTTCATTCGCGGCAGCCAACCCGCCACATCACACCCTTCAGTGGTTGATGCCACTTCTCCAATTATCAAGCACTAGCATTGTTGGAAGTGATCCACTGGCTGGATGCGCACCAGACGTCGGAGAAGGAGTACGAGTCGAAGCAGAAGGAGCTGGAGAGCGTGGCTAACCCGGTGCTGCAGAAGGTGTACGCGTCTGCAGGCGGTGCTGGTGGTGCTATGCTCGATGGCATGCCGGGTGATATGCCTGGTGCTGGTACCGGGGCCGATTCTCGCTCGTCGGGTGCCGAGCAGGGTCCGAAGATCGAGGAGGTGGACGAAGTTGTCACCAGTGATTCTATGTGGAAGAAGTGCATGTCGCTAGATATGCCTAGATTAGCTTAGAAATCAATGAAGTAAATACATGTATATGTGCACATGCAGTAGACTAATACTTAAGTACCCCCTATTTGTTCGCAATAGTTTACCGTTCATTTGGTACACCTCCAGTCGTAGTACTAATAGTTCGCAAGATGGATTATACGGCTGGATCGACGCTGGCAAACTTGCCTGGTTTCAAGCAACAAAAGTTGCTCAAATCGTCGATGCACCAATACGATCCAAGCCCATAATTGTCATAGCTGAGCAGCTCACCAGGAGCGATAAAATAGTGTCGGCTGAATTGAAGTGAACCTGATCTGGGCCCTTCATTGGTGCACCAATCGGCCAATCAAACACGTCACGACCAGCTCACGCCGGTCCATACTATGGACTCCATTGCTAAACACCCCGTCCTTACCTCACTGTCTCAGACTCATTGAGCACAGTCTAGAAAACCCGTCGAACTTCGACTCGAAGCCCCGATTCTGCAAACCATACTCAGTCCGAATCATCTCGAAGCATCGAGATGCGAGACGGGACGGGAGGCACCAACCCGACCAACTTGCTCACCCTGACTGTCAGTGCTGCTTGCTGTCCGTCTTTGCCATCTACGCTCATTTCTGAATTTCCATTGTGGACATCAAGCGATTCACACTAACAACAACAGGCTTCGGAACGTCCGATAGCGAAGACTACAAGACCTACTACATAAACTACCCAACACAAACTCGCATCAGAACTCAAGATGACTCAAGCTACGTCTGGATACTCGGTGGGCATTGATCTGGGCACGACCTACTCGTGTGTGGGCGTGTGGCAGAACGACCGCGTGGAGATCATCGCCAACGACCAGGGCAATCGCACGACCCCGTCGTATGTGGCGTTTACGGACTCGGAACGTCTGATCGGTGACGCTGCCAAGAACCAGGTCGCTATGAACGCGGCCAACACGGTGTTTGACGCCAAGCGCCTCATCGGTCGCAAGTTCTCAGACCCCGTGGTGCAGGCCGACATCAAGCACTGGCCGTTCAAGATCACGGCGGGTCCCGGTGACAAACCGCAGATCACGGTGCAGTTCAAGGGTGAGACCAAGACGTTCCAGCCGGAGGAGATCTCGTCCATGGTGCTGATCAAGATGCGCGAGGTGGCCGAGGCTTTCATCGGCAAGGAGGTCAAGAACGCCGTCATCACGGTGCCGGCTTACTTCAACGACTCCCAACGCCAAGCAACCAAGGATGCCGGTGCTATCGCTGGGCTCAACGTGCTGCGTATCATCAACGAGCCGACCGCCGCTGCGATCGCGTACGGCCTGGACAAGAAAGGTGGCGAGCGCAACGTGCTTATCTTCGATCTGGGCGGCGGCACGTTTGACGTGTCTTTGCTGAGTATTGAGGAGGGCATCTTCGAGGTGAAAGCCACAGCGGGTGACACGCACCTGGGCGGTGAGGACTTCGACAACCGCCTCGTCGAGCATTTCGTGCAGGAGTTCAAGCGCAAGCACCGCAAGGACCTGACGCAGAACCAGCGCGCGTTGCGTCGTCTGCGTACGGCGTGTGAGCGTGCCAAGCGTACGCTGTCGTCGTCGTCACAAGCCTACATCGAGATCGACTCTCTGTTTGACGGCGTGGACTTCAACTCGACCATCACGCGCGCGCGTTTCGAGGACATGTGCGGCGACTACTTCCGCAAGACGATGGAGCCCGTGGAGAAGGTTCTACGCGATGCCAAGCTGTCCAAGGGCCAGGTGCATGAGGTGGTGCTCGTGGGCGGATCCACGCGTATCCCCAAGGTGCAGCAGCTGCTGTCCGACTTCTTCAACGGCAAGGAGCCCAACAAGTCCATCAACCCAGATGAGGCTGTGGCCTACGGTGCTACCGTCCAGGCTGCCATTCTGAGCGGCAACGACTCGTCCGAGAAGCTGCAGGACTTGCTGCTTCTGGATGTGACGCCGTTGTCTCTAGGTCTGGAGACGGCGGGCGGTGTCATGACGACGCTGATTGCTCGTAACACGACAGTGCCGACCAAGAAGTCGCAGACGTTCTCGACGTACGCGGACAACCAGCCGGGCGTGCTCATTCAGGTGTTCGAGGGCGAGCGCACCATGACACGCGACAACAACCTGCTGGGCAAGTTCAACCTGGACGGCATCCCGCCCATGCCTCGTGGGGTGCCGCAGATCGACGTGACGTTCGACATCGACGCCAACGGCATCCTGAACGTGTCGGCCGTGGAGAAGTCGACCGGCAAGGAGAACAAGATCACGATCACGAACGACAAGGGCCGCCTCTCGCAGGCCGAGATCGAACGCATGGTGGCGGAGGCCGAGAAGTACAAGTCGGCGGACGAGGCCAACAAGGCGCGCATCGAGGCGAAGAACGCGCTGGAGAACTACGCGTACAGTCTGCGTAACAGTCTGAACGACGAGAAGATGAAGGAGAAGATCCCGGAAGCCGACAAGAAGGTGGTGGACGACAAGGTGACGGAAGTGATCCAGTGGCTGGATGCGCACCAGTCGTCGGAGAAGGAGGAGTACGAGTCGAAGCAGAAGGAGCTGGAGAGCGTGGCTAACCCGGTACTGCAGAAGGTGTACGCATCTGCAGGCGGTGCTGGTGATGGTATGCCCGGTGGCATGCCGGGTGATATGCCTGGTACTGATTCTCGCTCGTCGGGTGCTGAGCAGGGTCCGAAGATTGAGGAGGTGGACTAGGCCGGCATGTGTCGAGGCTCAACTTGAGCTGAATCAGCTGCTGATGACTTGTAGCCTACAAGTTGTACATGTACATGTAGGACGATTAATCTTTTTCTTGCTTGTCAATATTGCATTTTTGAATGCGTCGTAAATGTGCTCGTTTCCTATTTTAGTTTTCTTTGACTGTGGCTGGAGCTAAAATAATGGGCGTAATTTAAGCGTATGGTCAGAGGCAACAGGACACTTCAATACGCCGGTAGAGTGACAACGGTTTTCCGATACGCTTTTCGGCTTCGTACCAGCCAATGCAAGAGTAACTTCCTGCCCTTAGGATTTCAAGATAAATTCCTTCATCCGTACCAGTAGGTTTGCCGTCGTGATAACGCGTCATCCAACGGATAAGTACCGCTGCATCGAAAGGAATGTTCCGTTGCGACCGTGGTCTTTCAGAACGGTGTGTGCTCGACACGCTCAAAGGAATCGCCCTTTGCGTTCACATGCACTCGATCAGATTTAATCGGAACTTTGTAGAGGTCAATAATGCAGCAACAAGAGCAGCACTGCACACTGGCATTCTTTCATATTAATTTACGATTAAACTTTGACAACGTGAACACAGCAAACGCTTACACAAACATCACGGGGCGAGAGCGACTCGACTCCTGACTGTGAGGTTCACGCTGCGGTAGCTGAGGGGGTAACAGCAATGAAGACGTCACGGTGCTGTCAGAAAGTGGTGGTGAGTTTTTGCGGACGCTCATACTTGGCAGCACGGGGCGACTGGTGCCGTTGATAGGAGAAGAGTGAGCGAAACCGAGCCGATGCGGCGGCAAGACCTGCTGCGGCGCGGCAGCCACCGCAGTTCCTGGTACGTGCCCTGCCAACGCGCGCTGCATGGATGCTGAAGGTACTTTGGACCCGTAGGCGTATCCCGGATGCTCCAAGTAGTAGTGACTTGCAGTAGATCCGCCCGACGAGACTGCGGGCACTGGTGGCGGCCAGTCCTCGATAATGTGTCGTATCGACTGCTCGTTGCGTGACTGGAAGCGCACCAAAAGCCTGCGTGCATTCTCCACTGAGATGTCGGGGAGCTTGCGTAACGCAGCTGCCTCCACGAGCTTCATGAGCTCGTCGAACGTCATGAGCACGCCGAGCTCCGCGTAAGCGACCACGACGCGCGTGATCCCAGCCTCATCGCTTGGGTGGAAGTAGCTATTGTTGCCTTTATTTGATTCCCCTCCTTGGGCACGCTTCTTCACGCGCCGGTGGAGAGCTGCGAAGTGCACGCCGTAGATCTTGGCGGCGGCGCGCAGACTCATGCCTTGCTGTTCGACAGCGGCGATGGCTTTCTCCCACGTCTCGGCTGGCACTGTGTGGCTCAGCTTGTAGCCGCGCTTCTCGCTCGACGTCGGCGCGTTGACTTCACAGCTGTTCTGGCTCGTGGCGACAGAAGGAGGCGTCAAGTCTGCACTGCCAGTGCCACTCGAGCTGCCGGTTGTGGCACCGTTTTCGCTGCCGCTGCTGTCGTTGGAGCTGAGCTCTTCCACGTCATCTGGCCGATCACGCTGTTGCCATTGAGTGGCCGCGCGGTGGTCGTTCACGATCATGGAGCGGCGCTGCTGTTGCTGCCGTTGTTGTTGATGATGAGTGCGGTGCACCGGTGAGCCATTATCGTACGCCAGTCGCGCACTGGGCCGCGCACTTGCACTGGGCTCACGTGAGGCGACGTAGTGGCCCCTGTGGTCTCTCTCGTCGTCGCTACTCCCTCCGCTGCTCACACTGCTCGCTGGTACTCGCGCAATACCGCCGCTGCGGATGCGCCGCCCAGCCGTCAGGTGGTCAGGAAGCCCGAGCGCGAAGCCTCCACCAAGCTGCAAGAAGCCGTGCACACGCTTAAACTCGAGAATCCAGAGCGAGGGTGGGAAGTCGGGTGGGATGTTCACGGCGCCGCCGCGGCTTGCTACGGCGCGCACCACAAACCGGACGTCGTCCGACGTGACGCGCTGCTCTTGCCGGAACCGCTCGCGCAGCACGCCCAGCACCTCCTGTTCGTCTGACTCGCCCAGGAAAAAGCGCACGCCGTTGTCCAGCGGCGCAGGCGCCTGCAGCGTGGAGCTGCCGCGGCTCCGGACACGGTCAAGAGCGGCGAGCGTAGGCGCTGCCCAAAGCTCCTCTCGAGACATTGATCGGGTCGGGTCGAATATTTCTGCCGAAATGGTAGGCTGCGAAATCGAAAATGAGAAAGATTTCGAAGAACAAAGTAGGCCGAAAGGATTTAGTGAAACCAAGTGTTTTTATGGCCTCACGTTTCAAGCTAATGCTCCGACTTCGTCAAGCATCTTTTTTTCTTTCGTTGTGTGCCGGTTGAAACTGGCTGCGACAGTGCCGGTACGCACTTGCTGTTGTGTAACGACGGCCAGGCAAAGTCTTATCTCCAGCACACGCACTGACCCCTCGAGTACGGTAGGCACTATAGCCACAGCCATCGAGCACTCCAACGCCCGTCTCTTATGCTGCGCGACATCGAGCGCGGCTCGAGCAAGACATCGTCTGCACGTGTTCCGGGCTTCAAGAAACGATGACAGCGAGTTTATACTGTAGAGCTGCTGCGAGTTTGTACATCGTCTTATCTTAGATTGCTTTTGCATAGGATCCGACAACTTGGGCCACCGGGCGTACTGAAGTACACTATTCATCGGTATGGTCAGTAGCGCTATATGTAGGCTTCGCCATTTCTTAACGCCCACAGTAGTATTACATAACATTACAAAAAGCTTTTATGGGTCACGCACTTTTTTGCTATCCCGTCCACCAGAGTCCATTTTACCCGCTACTGCCATCGATCTCGGATTTTTTCTAGCCATTGGTGATGAGACGGTCGGATGTAGACGGTTTTCGACATTTTTGATTCCGATTGTACAGTAGCACAGCTGTTACTAAATTGTGGGTTTTCTTATGCTTTTTTTTTAATACTTTTTTAAAAGGACATGATGACTACCATGCGTTACTATACTAGCCCTCGTGGCTCTTAACTCTCAAAGAGTCTTTAGACCACTAATAATGGCTGCTTTTATCAGAAAATGCTTAGCATACAGAGAGAGCGTGGTAGCCTCTCACACTGGTCCTCTCTCTCGCCAATTGCCAAGAAATCTTCCAATCTCCACCTCACTCCTATATGGATCGAAAGACGAGTCGAAGTATCCTCCTGGTCCCTCCCTACAAGTCAGCTCGAGCTGTCTGGCTGAACAACATTGGCGACAACCAAAAACATGAAGAATCACCTACGATTTGTTGGCCGTATGGCTGAGTCGCTCAGCGATATAATAGCAGTGGAGGTCCCGGTGCGACACCAACTATGGCTGGGAGTCTTCAAGCTAAGTGCTACCTCAGTTTTTCCCCAGACGTGTAGCACCAACTGCGCGCCAAATACCAATGCTTTAAAAGCCGCGAGTGGATAAAATACCAATTTAACCCTTAAAATTTGTCTTTTTGTCTTATTAAACAAAACACCTGGTCCAAAACCACCTCGTGAATTGCGGCGCGTTTATACAAATCACCTATTCTACCAATCAAAGCTCTGACACATCTAAACAGCAATCTCTAACGTTAAAAATTGGCCGAGTTACGGCACACCAACGTCGGTGGCCGCTGCGAAATGTAAAACCTAGCCATTTGTCGGACAGCTAGTTAGCCATCACCTGCTCACGTAAACGTCGGAAGCCAGGCCCACCGAATAAAAGATTGCATTGAAAATAGAGAGTGATTCATTTGCCCGAATGAAAATCTGCCAAATCTGAGTCGAGTCGACCCTAACCTCCTCAGATAAATACCCCTTTCCGGACAAAGTATACCGTATAGTAAAGGGGGGCGACCACACATTTTTCCCGCCTCGGGGTCTGAATACTGCTAGACGATCGCCACGAATTTGCGCGTGCTGCCGAGCGTGGGTCAGCCACAGGGCAAGAATCGATCGGCGCAAACGTTGTAGATGGAGCTAAGGGCGCGGACGTCTCAAAAACGTCGTGGATCAGGGTCACGAAGCGATGATGACGCATCCAACGTCTCGGTCGAGTCCAGCGAAGAGGAATTGGTCGACGAATCGCTCCCGATGGAATCTGGCGACAACAGCAGCCGCTCCAGCGACTGGACCAACACCGACGACTCTGAGTCTATCAATGTAACGCTGGCTGTGCCCGACAAGCACCACTTCACATCGTGGGACGCTTTCCACTCGTATTTAGACCGGTATTTTGCCGCATCTTACCAGGTAAAGTGGATTTACACTGCAATAGGCTTCTTTGCTGATCCCATTGTGTGCTATGAAGGTCTTCCGTGTTCGTACAAACACGACCGTTGAGCGTCGTAACACAGACATCCGAAACAAGAACTCTAAAGCACCTGAAATCCCGTCCGAATGGAAATACTACGCGAAGACGTTAGTCTGTACTTGCTTCGGCAAGTACAAGTCGAAGGGAAACAGCAAGCGCCCACGTCAAGAGCTTCGGCAAGTACAAGTCGAAGGGAAACAGCAAGCGGTTATCGGACTGCAAAGCCCAGGTAAGATACGGCTTCAAGTTTTACTTCTGCTCGGGTTCGTTCGGGTTTGTTCGGGCATTGCGGGTACTATTGTCTCAATTATCGGTACTAACGCTAATAAATCTGGCATAGATCAACGCCTGCGTTCGACTAGTTGACAAAGCCAAGCACGCGTTTGCAGTTTGTATCACAAAGTGTAACCCCGTACACAATCATGTCGTCAACCGCCAAACCTTCTATCGCTTTTCCTCGATCCACAAGGTGCTAGATGATGGCGTCGTTGAGTCGGTGGATATGCTCCGCAAGGCGGGTGCAAAACACAAGAATATTATGAAGTTCATCATCGAGAACACGGACGCCAACCCGTCTATTCAGGACGTGCGTAACATGGTTCGAAGCCTCAAGCAGAGCGAAAACGTGCGTGGTTCGCGTAACAGTGCCAAACGGTTGAAAACATGGATGCAAGAATTCTGTGAAGCACCAGGAAATATTGGACGTATATTTGTCGAGACCATGCAGACCAAGGTATAGTATTCGTTCAATTTGACTATCGATACCTTAGCTAACGTGCAGTGTTGAATGTAATTAGCGAGTTGCGACCTGCATTACATTGCAAACCCAGCACATGAGGCTGATGTTCGAGCAATTCCCGGAGGTTCTTTTGATCGATGCAACCCACGGCACCAATGCTTCTAAGTACAAGGTATTTTCGTTCATGGCGCACGATGTTTTCGGCCACGGACAGTTTGTTTCTGCAGAATGAACGTCGTCACACTCTCGTCACTGCAATCGAGGAGTTTAAGCAGAACAATCCGGCATGGACTCGAGTCCAAAGCATACTTATCGACAAATACTTTACGGAGTTGTCGGTACTCAGGGCAGCGTTTCCGGATGCCTCTATACTGCTCTGTCAGTTTCACGTGTTGAAGTATCTGAGAGAGGCTGTGGCATCTTCGGACTATGGTTTCACCTCATGGCAAAAGGACCAGCTACGCAGCACATTCAATTTGCTCGTGTATGCTCCTACTGAGGCAGCCTATTTGAAGCATCGTCGCTACCTCCGCCACCTTGTGACATTTGGCGTTGCTTCGGGCAGTTCGAGCTTACTCGGGCAGGCTGTGGCTGATTCGGGCTCAGTTGGGCACTTAATGTTGGATTCGAGCTCAGTCGGGCACTCAGCTGTGGCTACTAACTACGGTCCGATCCGCTGTCAACCTGGCTGAACTTCCTCGTGCCAAGTTTGTTATTGTATCTGCCCCTGAAGACGCGAGCTCCACATGGGACTCTAACCGAAAATATCGGGAATAGCTAGCTCTATGTGGTGTAGGGATTTCCAGATTCGACCATACGCCGACCTACTTTAGGTCAAGAATCGGCTCGGTCTGATAACCCAGAGCTTAGGAGCCAAGGATCACGGTAAGTACTCGGCGATCTGTCCGGATATGCTATCCGGACAGCCGCTGAGCTCAATGGTCGCCGGAACTCAGCTGAAGGGTCGGTAGAGATCCGAAACTTCTACATTTCATTAGATATTTGTATGAGAAGCATAGGATTAAATAGGGGGAGCCGGAAGGGCTCCCAGAAGATAACAGAGCAGAATTTTCCTAGTCCAAGACACGTGTACACTTTTCCGGTAAGTCCCTGCATAGGGCTGGATTATCCTGCCGTCAATACTCGAGAGGCATAGCTTGTAGGGTATTGACTGGTAGCGCCAAGAGATTAGGTCGGTCCGGGTAGGACAAAGTCTCGCTACGCGCGAAAGGAAGTCCCGCATACTCAGCGGGCCGGTACGTCGGATAGCCCGGGTGCCGTAACACTTCTAGCTGAGCAGCCTCTGCGCTCGGTGACCTGTAAAAGCGCTCGCGCGCCGTCGTCCATCCTTTGGTGAAGGGCACAGGGTTGTGAGCGAGCTCAGCCGAACCAAACTCGGCGGAGCCTCGGAAGTGATCTGACTTGGTTAGTCGGAACCGAGTGGAAGCGAGCCACTCGTCTGTCCCGGAAGGGCCGGACCGCGAGGGGACCACCCTCTGCGCAGGCCATACAAACCGCCGACCTAACTCGGCGATTCGTTGTGGTTTGTGTAAGGAATCCACATCTGACGATATTTGTGTGTTCTACTACACCACAACTGGTGCCGCGACCCGGGAACAGGAGTGTGTGCTTGTTTTTATAGGTGCCAGCTAACCAAGTTAAGAGGAAGAGAAGAGAAAGAGAAGAGTGAAGATGGTCAAGGGAGCAGCAACTCCGAGCGACGGAAGCCCAGCGACGGCTGGAGGATCGCCTCTCGCGGGGTCGGACCCGGCGGATCAACGACTCATCGCCATGACGATGGAGGTGGGACGAACCGTCCAGTTCGACGAGGATGGCCAAGACCAGGAGAGCGAGAACGGAGATGCAAGTGAAGGAGAGTATGAAGAGAAGGCCGAGACCGCTGAGCTCGGAGAAACGAAGACTACCGCCGAGCTACTTGGCGAGGTGGAAGAGTTGACGCTGCAGGTGGGACGCATGGGAGCCCCACGTCCTGTCGAGTGCAACTTATCCGCCGAGCTCGACGAAGGTGCGGACGATGAAGAAGATGAAGAAGAACATGGCGTTGCTCAAGGGGACCGTCCGCCCCTTATTCCGAAAGCGACGAGGAACGCCGATACGCCGAGCGCCAAT